AAAAAAAAAAAAAAAAAAAAATTCTGTTCGTTTACAAATGTTGTGGGTCCTAATTTAAATTTTTTTTTTCGTCAAGAGACCCCCTCGAAGGTACGTAAAAATAGTTTATTATTTTTTTTTTGTAAATTAATTCAGCGTTATTAAAGGAATTAAGTATAATAATTTTGTTACGTTTATTGAGCGTTACAGACAGACACACAATAATTTTTTTAAAATTATAATTACGTAAACTGAAAGAAAATTGTGATGTAAAATAATAGAAAATACTTTCAAAATTGCACGGAAACAATAGAATAAATAGATAGAAGTTTTTAAAATTTTTATCTGTAGATTTCGTAAATGTTTTGTGTATATTACAAATCGGCAAAAAATTACAAAATATCCGTGTATAGATTAGATTTTAAAATATAATAAAAATTAAAATTTAAAGCATGAAATGTTTTTAACATTGTAAATATAAGTTTGTTTTTCTGAATGAAAAACTTGAAACCAAACTTACCTATTCGTATATTTTAATAATTTGTTTTGCTGCTATCGTATTCTACGATTTATGGATATTTTTAGTTAATTTTTTACACTGAAGAGTTATACAATATTAGGTCAAACCCTTTAGGCGAAGGATGACTTTTCCTTTTTTTGTAATAATAGATTGCAAAAGCAAGTTTGTAGAGGATTTCAATGACATGTTTGCTTTCTTCAGAAAAATCCTTGAAGTTGCCAGCAAATTTTTTAAATTCTTTTTCAGGCTTTTGTGAAAATCAAAAACACATAAGATTAACACATCTTCATTTCTAAAATCAATTAATATAATATTTTAAAAAATAATATATTAAAATCTATTCTTATATAACATCTGAGTCATCTGTGTAAAAGTTCTAATTAGTTTTCTATTTAGTACAAATCACGTTCTAATTTTCACACTATTTAATACCAAGTATTGCCTAATTATAGACTGACTTGATCGAATTCACGTACTATTTGAAACTAAATCAGTAAAAATAATCTTAAAAATCGAATTTAAATGTTTTTGCATACAAAATATTGAAGTATAGTATAGATCTACTGTATAAGAGGCCTGTGGTATATTTGTTTTTATGTAATATTATTAAATATTTTATCTTTAATCATAGCTCTATAACAGTTATGACACTGAATAGATAAAGTTCATAAATAACTCGATAAATTCTGTAATCTTTTGCGTAATTACTAATTAAAAATGCTTCCTGTTATCTACGTGACTACACTATCCAAGCATAGAAAATATGAAAATTACAGCCGAATTGATTTATTTAAAGTTGTAAAAATTAGTTGGTATATTTTGTTTATTTTAAATAATTTCACACATTTATTAAAGTATTCTTAACTGTGTATTAATTACGTATAAAATATTTATTTCTCCGGCAGATCATAACCTAATTCTCAGACTGGAAAACTTTGAAGTTAATTTTAGCCTTTTTTAAGAATAGGTATCGTGAAATTTATTGTAGTTTTTCGTTTTTCTTAGTCAGCAGTTTAAAAATTCATTTTATTTTAGCTTTGTTTGCATTCTTACGCAGTTGTACCACGAGGAAAAAAATTACATCTTTTGAGGCTTCTTTATTTAGAAATGTTAAATGTCAGTAGCGACATCTTTTGATAAATATTGAAATTAAAGTCGTAAACACTTTGTTAGATTTTTTAATTAAAAAATGAACTGTATTTTAACATTATAATTATTTTTTAAATAAACACCCATTATAGTTATTTTTCGACTCAGTTCTTCCAGTAATTATATGAATGAACTACATAGTAAAGAGTTCGTAAAGGAAATTAAGTATCAGGTGTAATGATTCGTTACGTTTATTTAGCATTAAAAGACAGACAAATACGACACAGAATAATACTTTTTTTTTATAAATATAAGTAATGAATAAATTATTACAAGGCATCTTAAAAATAGTATTAAAATCAACGCTTATTATATCTTACGAAACATTTGGTATGAGTTGTTTCAATACTTGAAATTAATTGATGTTTATTCAATTTCTGATTTATTATTAATTATAATTCTTTAAAAAAAAGATAAAGATATTTTAACGGCACTGAATCTAACTTCATGAATTATTAAAATATCGGATTTAATGAGCAATTCTATTATCTATTTTACTACCATATTAAAGCCAGGTTATCAAATTACTTTAACTAGGAAAATAAACTTTGCCAATAAATGTCTAATTGTATCTTTGACTAGTCAATTCTTAATCGATTACTGAAATGCCACGCTATAACAAAAGTATAAGAACTTTTATATAAAGCTCAATAAACAATATTTATGAACAACAGATAATTAAGAAAGTGCTTCTCTTGTTTGATTATTATTAACAAAATATTAATATATATTAATTCTTACATTTAAAATTTATTAATATATACAAATAATTTTAAAGATTTTTATATTTATTTACATTAGAATCATGCATTTTTCCTAAAGAAGTAATCATTTGATAAATATTTATAACTTATCAGCTTTTGATAATTATATATAGCTATCAATTAAACATTGGTTAAGTCAACTAAAAGTGTTTTTATTATCTAGAGTTGGCAAGATTACAAAAACTGTAGGTGAAAATTTTAAAGTTTTAAATTAGCATGTTTAAGTTTGGCCAAGTGTTATTTATATTTCATTATTATTATTTAGTAGAAAGTATATACAAAACAGTATTTCCTCAAAGGAATTTATTTTGGACAAAATTAGAATAGTTTTCATTGGTAAGATCTAAAAAAATTAATATAAATTTATGCATTAATGAACATGCAGAAGTGCTAAGTAAGAAAATGAAAATTTTAGAGATGGCTTCGAACTTTTACCAATTTTATTCAGTTTTACTTGGATAAATTGCAGTTGTAAAGTATTGAGACATTTATTTTTGTTTTTCCGTTTCACAACAAGTGCAATCAACCGGCAAAATGCCAGATAAACTCTGCTCACATCTTGAAATTCTTTTATTTAAAATTCGAAGTCTGAATCCGCGTAACATTTACTATTTATCGCACATAAGAAAAGGCTGGATAATATAGAGATTTTTAAAGTTCAAATCATATTGGGTTCACTTAAGTAAACTTTAAGTTTATTATACTATATATTTATTTTATGATAAATTGTATATATAGTATATAGTAGTATATTAGTATTTATTCAATCTAATATAAAATTATAAACATCTACAATATTATTTCCTTTATATAAAAATTTTAATTACAAATTAGAAACATTTAATTTCATTTCAAGGAAATACCAACATAATTTAGGAATGATTAAGATTTATAGATAAGCAATTAAAATAGAATAAATAAAAATTTCCGGTTTACTAGACGTAAACAACTGTTATCTTAGATTTTAAATTTTATTTAACATTTTCCAAAGCTAATTATTTTGTAATTATTAATTAATAATAATATTTACGCTATGGACAATTACAGTAATAATTTAATGTAAAATCTCTCTATCAACACAATCGTGCTATTTCATTCCATATAAGAAATTTTTTATTGAAGTATGAAAAAAATATATTGTTACAATAATACTAATATTTACTTTAAATTATAAATAGCTTATTTATTATTACATATGTGTATAATTTGAAACTTTTACAATTGCAAAATTTTACATTGAGATGGCATCAATATAAAAGGATGCAGATACAATTGTTCATTGATAATACAAATTCCTCAGTATCATTATATAATTAGAAAGAACTTTGATGATTATTTTTTCTAATTTTGAAAAATACACTTTATATCATTTTCGAAGTTTTCTTAACATTTAAAAAATACTACTTGGATTTATAGGGCTCCGTCCCTCACCACTCTGTCGCCTCTATTGTCAGTATGAGCGAATCCGTGGGTATAGAAAAAATTCCTCTTAATATCCACAGGGCGGAAAGAGTAAAAAATAAAGTTTAAATAATACAAGTATACGAAATGTTTCTCGTTTGCCTTGTGATTCTAATAAATATTAATATTTCATTGATTTTTAATTGTAAACACGATTGCTATGTAATTAACCACCGAGTATTATTTCTAATATACTTGCTCGACTCAGAACAGAACACACAAGACTAACATCTATCTACTAACAAGGATATTGAACCGAAATGCTCAACTTGCAACACCCCACTTACCATCCGACATATATTAATAACGTGCTTTCAATATAAAACATATCTTTGACAACATACATCTTCAAACGACCAAGCTCTACGGAGTATACTAGATGATAATGGACAATGGCATATCTGAAGGCAATAAACCTATATACAGAACTCTAGAACATACATATTAAGAGTTAAAAGACCTGGCTCTCTGGCCTATCTCGGCCCACAAATTTCAACGCCAACCAACCCTTATTTCTAATAATTATATTTTTCATATATATTTTAATTTTAATGCTATCGTGATTTTATGCAAATATTAATTTAAAATCATAATAGTATTAATTATAGAAGCAAAAGCAAAAAAAAATTTAAGCCTTTTATTTTAAAACTTTAATTACAGAAACAAACCAAAGTCCAACTTTCAGAGAATTAAGTTGAATTATTTGTATAGTGAAGGACTATGAAAACAAAATTCGATGCTCATATTGGATTGACAGTTCTTCCTCAGAAGAGCTGTCAATCCAATATGAGCATCGAATTTGATTCAATTTGATCCAATATGAGCATCGAGTCAATTGACAGCTCTTCTGAGGAAGAGCTGTCAATCCAATATGATTATCAAAGATTCATTTTAACATTTTACAGATTACTTTTACATAAGTTCTGTCAAACGATCTGGATATAAAACTATAATCGGTTATTTGTTTTATGACTAAATGCTTTTTTTCTTAATCTAAGGCCCTACATTTTATATTACTCTCTCAATTATTGAAATCGGTATTTTAAAATTAAATAGTTGAAAAATCTCTTGTGGTTGTTTGATCGCAATACTATTGATTGTTGTAGAAAATACATTGTTTCTGCACAGTGTCGCTCGTACGGTAAAGTTTGATAATGTGGTGATAGATTTTGGTCGTGACTGAATTATTACTAACATTAAAGAAAGGCGATACTATCCTGTGAAAAGTCTATTTTATGTTTATCATAACACATTCTTATTTTTGATAAAAGATATTTGGCATAAATAATATAAACCACTGAACCTGGTAATTTTGTATCAATTAGGAGGTAATTCGAACATAAAAGTTGACAATGTGTGACACATGCAGCATTCACCTGAACATGTCTTCATTATGAGTGACAGACAGATCACAAAAATCAGCAGTGTCAAGACAAAATCTTTCGTCTCCGCAGCACGATAGGCCCATGCGGTAATAATGGCAAAAAGTTTATTTTAAACTTTTCCTGTCATCCATGGTGTAAATGATAACTTGCTATCTGTAATAGTAATCTGGCGATTCTCTTTGTAGAAACATAACCAGATTACCCATATCACCAAACTACCGATCCTTACCATATATTAAATAAAGCTATTTCGATTTTAGTTTTATAAAATTATAAATAGACCATTAAAATAATTGAATCTAATTTCATAATTATAAAATTTCTTGTCAAAATAATATACATAGGCCTATACGATCTAATGGGCATTTTAATTCACGAGCAGCATGAAGTAAAGCAAAGAGACAATATAAAAATCCAGCAATAGTAGGTGATGAATTTACAGCCATAGCTGAAAGAATTATATAAAACACAATATCACTTTAGAGAGAATTTTAACGATAATAATAAATGAAATTTAAATATATGCATATTACTGTTCATTGTCGAAGCGGGAACCGATGATCCTGAAGATATGGAAATATTTTCGGATTTCATGTTATCAGATAGGCAGCTTCCTATTAATTAAAAAATAACATATTTCTTTAAAGTAAAATTAATTAACCATATTTAAAAATGGTGAATCTATTATAAACCTATTTTAATTAAATCCATTGCTTTTTGAAGAGGGATTTGTTGTCTGATACAATTCTCTCCAATTTCGACGATTTTTACCATATTCTCATCTATCTTTCCTGCCTGAAAATATAATTATAAATCTTCTCATTTAATAGATATTGATGTATGTAATATTGTTACTTTATATTACTTACAAAACATCGCATTTCTTTACTTTCTAAGTGAAAAGCATAAGAATAAACAATTGTCCCATCTATCCAATTTCCATAGCAGAGATAATGATTAACTGAAAAAAACTCAAGATTAATGATTTTAATTTATAAATGTTTAAAAACAAAGGAGAAATACCTTCTAAGACTTCATTTATATCGTGGCACTTTACTGTTTTTTGTGCTAATAAATCCGGCTTGATACAGTCAGTCATTATTCTGAGGCAAAGATCATCTTGAAATGGAAGAATGCCAAAATATTCTCCCATTATCGGAAAATGTGAAGTTTCATTCATATCACTTCCTATTTAAAAAATTTAATACAGTATTTGTATTATTCAAATATGTATTATTATTAATACGTATTCAAATATGTATTATTATTAAATAGTATTATTCAAATATGTATTAATATTTGTATTATTCAAATACAGTATTTGTATTATTCAAATTTTACCTTATGCGATTTTGGAATAAAACAATAAACATTGTATTGATATATCAACGAAAATAACATTCGCCATTGTAAAAACCTATTAAGGGACTGATGTTGTTCCGTTATATATATTACATGATCTAATTTTTCATGTTCTTATGATAGTAGTAGTAATAAATAATACTCTTATATGCGTAAAAATAGGAATAGCCTAGGATTATTTTTAATTCACTACTAACCAGGGCCGTGGAAAGGCAGGGCAAAGGGGGCACATGCCCAAGACGCCCAGACCATGGGATAACAAAATTGTTCCATGGCGAACTAATAAATTCATTAGAAAATTGTCACATTCAAATATGAAAAATTACATTATCACGTGCACTTGTAATATAATATACAGTGGGTGATCGGTTAACGAATATAATCCATTCCAAGACTTTGTTCGTTATCCGAATTGTTCGTTAACCGATTATCGATTTACCATAGGTTTCTATGGGAATTTGATTAATTCGTTCTGGAGACCTCCAAAAAATAAAAAAATATAGACTATACTTTCTTATTACGTTTATTTATATGTAATAATAAAAATACATATATACACGGTCTTGCACTTTTATTAGTCATGTTTTTTCCGTTTGTGGGGTTTAATTAATTAAAGAATCTGTCCAATGTCGATTGTTTTTCTTCTTTATGATTTTTCAGAAGTAATTAATAGCATTGTAATTGTAGAGAACCCTAGGCCTATTAACCCCAACCTGGTTTGGATGCCATTTTAAGACCGTTGTTCTGTCAGAACAACGTCCTCTCACTTCTTTAAAAGATCTTTAAAAGCAGATATCGGCATAAATCCGCATTTTCATAAGAAAATGTAAAAGAATTGTTTCTGTCAGAAATATAAAAAGCTGGAATTATAAGGGAGAGTTTCAAAGTTCGGGAGAATACTATCCTATCAGTATATACTGGGTAGAACGTCGATGTCGACGTCTCCCGCGCTCCGAAAAGTTTTGAATTGTTGCCTGAAGACAAAGGAAGACCAATCGGTATTCGTTGTTTTACGTGTCTTCTTTTTGTGTTTGTTCAGTCAAGTGTTCGTTATCCGAACATGTGTTCGTTGTCTGATCATAAAAATCTTTCGCGAAAGTGTTCGTTATCCGATTTGTTCGTTAACTGATCACCCACTGTATAATAACACTTATTATTAATATAATGCATAAGATTTTTATATTTGTAACAGACTAATGAGAGGCTTATCGAACAGGCACCATATTCAAGTTTCCCCCCAGTGCCAAATGCTCTAGCCACGGTTCTTCCACTAACTGAAGAAATCCAAACTATAATGAATTATATTTTTTTCCGAGTTATCTGGAAAAAATATAGTCTATTATATGATACATAACGATTACTTGAATTGCATGAATAGGTAATTTTAGTTAATTTTTTCATCAAAATTTTACATGCAAAATAAAGGTTAAGTTCAGATAATATATACACTTCATATTATTTTAAAAGACGAAGTAACCCAAACTATATTTAAGATATCATAAATTTATTTGAAAATATTGACTTAACAGGTCAGGAATATTAACTTACTGAGTTTTGTAAACCAGCTTTTATTATTAAACTGATCGTTTGAACACAAAACAGAAGAGGTATCATTAATGCTTCCAAATCGTTTACCTGCAGGAAAAATTATATAAACTTTTAAACAAAAATAAATAAATTGTGATTGATTAATTAAAATTTTGCAAACTTAATTCTAAATACATAATTGCAGTTTTTTTTAAAAAAAATCAATTCAATTTATAATTTTATATGCTTTGACTAAACCGTAGACTAATAAAATCTGGAAAATATGGAATGAATTGGATTAATGAAATGAAATGGAATGAAATAAATGAACATTCAACGCAACATATGTGCAATCTGCCAAGGTGGGATGCCTTCTGGGAAGACTTTCTATGGAAAATGGTTCCTATTTAGCTGCCAGATACGTAAAGAAAACCCGGAAAACTTCATGTGGCCAGCTCGTTGCTAAGGCGCGAACTTACGCCAAGTGCACTAATGGTTTTATTCACTCAGCCCTTAGTGGACCAAAATATAAAAATATTTAAGGCATAATTTTATTTTTAAACAATTTTATGATTTAGACTTCAACATATCAAAATACTTAGCTATGATTTAACTTAGTTTTATATCAAATTCAGTAAATTCTAGCCACAAGATACAAATTAAATTACATAATATGAAAAAGAAATTGAATTTATATATCAATATGTAATCTAATACACTAAGTATTTCATAATGAAAGAATATAGGTACTGTACATAACGACAAAAGAAATTACAGTATTTCAAAAGATCATTTTCCAACAATATTTCATGTTCTCTACTAAATTATTATTAAGGGGTTAAGATTAGGATAAAAATATACAAGTAGAAAGGTCTTCTATTGAATAAAAAATTTAATAAAACGGTTTCTGGACATTAACATAGTGTTATTCACAGTAATTTTTAATTCTGTGTTATAAAATAAATAAAATTAAATATAATATACGCACCTAACTGAAATTCAATGATGTTCATTGTTCTATTGACCAACCATATGCAACCATACGTTTCTTTATCACTTTGAATGAAAAATACAAGAATTAATTTACTTTTATAATAATAAAAGTAAATTAAAATAAAAATAAACAACATTACCACTTATCTATCGAATGTATTAAATATCTATTTGCGTAGAAAGGATTTTCCATTCGAATACAATGAGATGTGTGAAAATTTATTTTTTCATTTCCGCCATAATTGATAATATTTCGTTCAACAATTAAATCTTCCCATTGACCAAGTGACCATTCAGGAAACGAACAACTAAAGTTTTTAACAAACTTATTTGAAATTTGAACTGTAAAAACAATAAGAAAAATTAAATTACAGTATAAAGCAAGTGTTTTTCGATATAAGTTTTAAAAAGGTAGAAATCTATTATGCCTGGATGAAGAATCATTGTTTCTTGGCCAATAATTGACGAATATAACATTCCGCATCTGTCATCACTCGATAAAGCCAAATATATATTTTCATTTTGAATATCTCGTCGATATAACTTAAAAAAAATCAGAGAATGATTCGTATTATTTCGTATTAAAATATAACCAGTATAAATATCTGCGTAAGACAAATAAAATTAAGTATAAATGCGAACTTTTCTTTTATACTTACTCCACATAAGAGTTTCATTTCACTTCTTTCATATTTCTTTTTCAGAATAATATAACGTTGGTTTTCAAAGGCATCCCAATCTCCCAAACATTGAAATCTTAATTCTTAATGAAAGAATATAACAATTGTTACTTTATTGTAAAAAAACACTAAAAAATTCATTACCATATCTATTACGATGTTAATTGTTGTTCATTATAAAAATTTCATTTATAAATAAAACATTTAAAAGCTGTTATACCTCTAGCTATTTTAATATAATGTATTAATAATTTTGATAACTTCTGCTTAAAGAAAATATTTGTTGACTAAAACGTCAGAATTCAAGTCTCTCTGCTGTAAAGATCTTTTTAATACAATACCCTGAATAACTTTATTTAATGCAATTTAGTACGTAAACGAAAATTCACCATAGAGTGTAATGAAATAATAGTTTTAAAAATTAAACGAAAAATTAACTAGAGTTACCAGATACTTGGTTAAAATTCGGGATAGTGACAGAAATACTGTACATTTAAAATGTGGGTAAAAAGATGAGTGGGAAAAAAATCCGGGAGATTTGGGAACTCTGAACAAACTAATTCCTTCTCAAATTCTCGTCTATAATTATTGAATTAATTGCTTTTGATGATTGAAATTGATTATATTACCCCATAAAGCAATTTTTAAATTTATTAGTAAACGAAATTACACATAATGTAAAAAGGTGTATTGTAAACATTCAATTATCATCTAAATACTGTATTTTAATATTATGTTTATATAATCTCTGACCTTTTTCTGGAAAGCTACAATTTTTATATTTAATGTGGAAAGTATCAGAAATCGGACAATTGATCAATTCCGAAATAAAAGAATAACATCTTCGTTTCCCTCCATCAGCTGAATATGATATTCGGAATTTTCCTCTAAACGGACAAAGAATTTCTGAATGATGATAAACTTGTAGTGTTTCTTGCCCTTTAGAAAACAAAATATTATTAAAATTTTATTATATACAGTTCAAAACATTTTAAAAATTAAACTTACGATAAAGAAAATACTTTTTCGATGGCATTGCAATGACATTTGGACAAAAAATATTCTCTTCTGAATGACATGAACTTAACTCTACATATGAAAAATAATGATAATAAAATTAGAACATTTTATATATTATTATTCATTTAAATTTATATTACCTTCTGCTAGAACTTCAATTATCAAAGGACTTCTTAATATTAACTGAAGACATTTTAAACAGCTCTTGTTTTGATTTCTGTTAATAAAAAGAAATATTTTTCTCACTGAATAATTGTAAATGCAACCTGAACATATAGATTATATTAATTGAAAATGTATGTATATCTGAACATACATTTTCAATTAATAATCTGTATGTATAAAATAACTACAGTATGGTCAAAATTCAGTACAGTAGACCCCCCTATAACGCTTAGATACGTTCCATTCTAACCGAAAATTACGTTGTAGGAACGATTAAATACATGAGCCAATCGCAGCCCGATAGGTGGGAACTTTACGGACTAAGGCTGTTCGAAAGGTTTTCTTCTATAAAATTAACCGATTCTAGACTAATTCGACTCAACATTTCCAAAACACGTATAATTTTTTGGGAGTAATCCGTATAAACTATGCTATAAACAAAAAATTATAGGATTACTTACCGAGTGTGTACCGTTCGACTACGCCCGTTGTTCAAAGCTTGTCTTCGTCGCGGAACAGCACACGAAACGGCGGCCGCGATATCTGATAAATAATTTATCGCAGAAAGATAACTTGACCTTTGGAGACATCATTAATATAAATAATTTTTATGGCCGTTGAATAAGAAGTGTTTCTTTCACAAGAAATGTATAAAATTAGTGCTGTATTAGACTTACGGTACCTAATTTACATACTGTGCAGACGATAATAAACTCAACTTACTAGCCTAAAATCTCCGTAGCGTGTTGCCAGGCGGCAGAAAGCATATATATAATTATAATAAAGTTACAATAAATTAAGTTAATATATAATTATATATACAGTACCTAATTTATATATAATTAATATATAATTATATGTACAGTACCTAATTTATATATAATTTATATATAATACTAAACAGACGATAGCAAACTCAATTTAGCCGCTCCGTAGCGTGGCGCAGGGTCGGAGGAAAGTAGTTCGGCTGCTCATCCACTATTGGTCCAGACTATCAATCTTGTCGCGAAACGACGTTATAGGAGGTACGTTATACGAAAGTTTCTACAATTTTTTCGCTACGTTATAGGAATTGTCGTTATAGGAACGTACGTTATAGGGGTGTCGACTGTATACTAAATTAACAGACAAGTAACTTAAAATACAATTTTATGGTAAAACGAGATAGTTATGGAATATAATAGGCCTACAACTAAATAAATTAAATATTGCATATCTCTGATTTACATTCTTCAATATATTTCTATATTAATTCCACATGAATGTAATTTGAGTACTGGTTTCCAAAACATAATATATGCAAATGGAATGCCATAATGCGAACGGTCAAAAAAATAAAATGACCCCCCAAGATTTTACATTTTTGGACTCCGGGGTTCTTAAAACGCCAAGAAATGCAAAACTGAATAAAGAAATTTGGAACAAAAATGGTCATCAACTACCTATACTTCCTACATTAATCAACCGACCAATCAACGACAGGACTACCGATTCAGAAGTTGGTGGCACAGAGATCGCCTTGCGTCATTAGACGTCACGACACGCATCATCGATGACGTTGAAATTTAAATTACATTTCAATGAGCTTGCGGGAAAGATGCTACTTCCGATTATCGGTATGCGCTGCAATTGAATTTAAATCAAATTAATAAAAACCATGTTAATTGACATTCATGTAATATAAATGGAATCCAAGAATATTTTGTTTAAAGGTTGGATGAATGAAATTGTCTTTTGTATGCATTATTACACATGAAATACAGCAAAAAAGAAGGGGGGAAAAAGTGTTATTTTGGGGCCAGGAAAGGATTAGTCCATTTTATATTATTTCCTATGGGAAAATTTGTTTCGGTTTTAGAACAACTTTTAGGAATGAATAATGTTCGAAAACCGAGGTTTTAGTATATATGTTACAGTCAAAACAATATTTATAACTTATCAGCTTTTGATAATTATATATAGCTATCAATTAAACATTGGTTAAGTCAACTAAAAGTGTTTTTATTATCTAGAGTTGGCAAGATTACAAAAACTGTAGGTGAAAATTTTAAAGTTTTAAATTAGCATGTTTAAGTTTGGCCAAGTGTTATTTATATTTCATTATTATTATTTAGTAGAAAGTATATACAAAACAGTATTTCCTCAAAGGAATTTATTTTGGACAAAATTAGAATAGTTTTCATTGGTAAGATCTAAAAAAATTAATATAAATTTATGCATTAATGAACATGCAGAAGTGCTAAGTAAGAAAATGAAAATTTTAGAGATGGCTTCGAACTTTTACCAATTTTATTCAGTTTTACTTGGATAAATTGCAGTTGTAAAGTATTGAGACATTTATTTTTGTTTTTCCGTTTCACAACAAGTGCAATCAACCGGCAAAATGCCAGATAAACTCTGCTCACATCTTGAAATTCTTTTATTTAAAATTCGAAGTCTGAATCCGCGTAACATTTACTATTTATCGCACATAAGAAAAGGCTGGATAATATAGAGATTTTTAAAGTTCAAATCATATTGGGTTCACTTAAGTAAACTTTAAGTTTATTATACTATATATTTATTTTATGATAAATTGTATATATAGTATATAGTAGTATATTAGTATTTATTCAATCTAATATAAAATTATAAACATCTACAATATTATTTCCTTTATATAAAAATTTTAATTACAAATTAGAAACATTTAATTTCATTTCAAGGAAATACCAACATAATTTAGGAATGATTAAGATTTATAGATAAGCAATTAAAATAGAATAAATAAAAATTTCCGGTTTACTAGACGTAAACAACTGTTATCTTAGATTTTAAATTTTATTTAACATTTTCCAAAGCTAATTATTTTGTAATTATTAATTAATAATAATATTTACGCTATGGACAATTACAGTAATAATTTAATGTAAAATCTCTCTATCAACACAATCGTGCTATTTCATTCCATATAAGAAATTTTTTATTGAAGTATGAAAAAAATATATTGTTACAATAATACTAATATTTACTTTAAATTATAAATAGCTTATTTATTATTACATATGTGTATAATTTGAAACTTTTACAATTGCAAAATTTTACATTGAGATGGCATCAATATAAAAGGATGCAGATACAATTGTTCATTGATAATACAAATTCCTCAGTATCATTATATAATTAGAAAGAACTTTGATGATTATTTTTTCTAATTTTGAAAAATACACTTTATATCATTTTCGAAGTTTTCTTAACATTTAAAAAATACTACTTGGATTTATAGGGCTCCGTCCCTCACCACTCTGTCGCCTCTATTGTCAGTATGAGCGAATCCGTGGGTATAGAAAAAATTCCTCTTAATATCCACAGGGCGGAAAGAGTAAAAAATAAAGTTTAAATAATACAAGTATACGAAATGTTTCTCGTTTGCCTTGTGATTCTAATAAATATTAATATTTCATTGATTTTTAATTGTAANTATACTGTGTTTGCAATGACGACTTTTTCACTGTCTGGCATTTTAGGCATCTCACCCCAAGTATCCGTAATGCCAAATGCCATTAGGGTAAGATAACAAATATAATTGCATAAAATTAATTTTTGAATTCTTTAACCATATTTAATTTATTGCATATGTAGTACAAAGTACTTCATAGTAAGTATAACAGCACAGTATAAGTATTGTTAAGTTCCCACCCGTTCTAACGTGTTCTATAGCTAGCTGAAAGCTTTTTTCAGTCCAAAAGCTTTTTTGAAAAGTCCTTATATAATTTCTATGCATATCCTGCAATAAAACGAGAAAACAAAAGTTTATTAAAATTAGGCATATTGGAAATCAATTAACAAAAAATACGCACGTTACCCCAAGAAAAATGTGGCATATTTTCCATTTGTTGGGGTAAGATGCCTAGCAGAGTCATATGCTCCAGCATGTCCGATCGGGATCGGCGGTAGCTGACAATGGAAACCTTAGAACTGGAAACTTTAGAACCTCAACTACATTACACATAATTGTTTTTAGCAATTTTTAATAAATTCCATTTTAACTTTCAGTTTAAAATTATTCTAGAAACATTTCACAACAAAAACTTCGTTCTTATCTAGCTTTTATTCTTCTCGGATGTAGAAAATGAAGTAACGGTAGCCAACTACAGCTTTCCACACTCAATATTGACCCAACGATTCATCATACAAATAACGACAATATGTGACATCACCGTTTGAAAATATCAAAAATTAGGTATCTTCCCCCGAATCACTCTATACGTTGCAGTCAAAACCAGTTTTTAGTTAGGATGTGTTTTAACTAGTTAAAACTAGTTTATACTGGATGTCTTTGTTAAAATCCGTTTTGTCTAGTTAAAACTAGAATTTACTGCTAGTCAAAAATGAATTTGAGTTAAAACTAGTTTGAACTAGAGAAAACAGGTTTTAACAAAGACATTTAGTATAAACTAGTTTCAACTAGTTAAAACGCGTTCTAACTAAAAACGGGTTTTGACTAGGGTTTCTGAAACGGGATTCCGGGATCCCGGGATCCCGGTTGTTTTTTAACCCGGGAAATATCCCGGGAAATTTTTCTTATCCCGGGAAATCCCGCAAATTTCTTAAAAATTCACTTTTTTTCTTATTTTTTGTTAAGGTTGAGGAGTTTTGCAAATAGAAAGCATAATTAACTCATTCACTGCCAGAATACATTTGTATTTATTAATTTTAAACCTACCTATTAGTTTTTTTAAATTTTTGCTCGTTATAGCATGTCACAAATGGTCAATAATCAATATATAGCTTATTTGTGGCATGACTATAAAAATTCTTTACTTGTCGGAACCTGTAATATCTGGAATAATTGTGCTTACGCTGTCTTGAGTTTTAACCATGCCCAGTAGCTTCAATAAATGCCTGACGCCAGATTGTGCAAATTGGGCAAGGATACAAACGAGTACAAAGTCTGCAAGTATGAAGTTTTTCTTCATAAACCTGATTATTAAAGCCAAATGAATTGCCGAATTATCGAGCTCTAAGCTTGATGCCGCTATTAAAGCAGCCAAGGTAGACAAATCAAGAATACTAGAGAGCGAAAGAAGTACTACAATCTCGAAAACGAACTCGAAAGCTTCCAGGCTACAGGTGAAAAAACACATAATATCTGTCTTCTCTTAAATGCATTAAACACTATTCCAATCACATCAATTGAATCGGAAAGGGCATTCTCGGTGGCAAGACTTTTCATTACTAAAATAAGAATTAGAGTGAGTTATCGGAGTATTGACCATCTTTGCTTTTTAAAATCTTATAAAAGTTTGCAATATTTTGTATTATATTTTATTTAAAAAACGAAAATTACCTTCTAAATTAGAAGTTCATTTTTTTAATTTTTAACTCAATTCAAAACATTTTTTTTGTTGTTGTTGTATGCAGTTTCCAGCAAACTTTAATTAATTTTTTTCTATTTGTGAAAATTTCTACGTTATTTAAAGGTAATTTTTATTATAGGCCTATAGACCTAACACAGCATTATTAATATGATTTTGGAGGTTACAAAACTTTAAAATTACTTTAAAAAATGGAAAATAATTATATCATTTGATTTCAAGATATTTTGTATACCTTAAAAATAATTAATTCTATCCCGGGATTTCCCGGGATCCCGGGAAACAGTTCACTTTTATCCCGGGATCCCGGGACAAGCAAAATACCGGGAAATGAGAAACCCTAGTTTTGACTAACATATATACATTTTGTTTTCTTTTATAAAATTTATCTGTAATTTCAAAATTAAACTTTTTTCCATTTTATAATAGTTAATAATATAAAACGTTTTAAAATAAAATACCATAACAAATGACGCCATCACAATTTAAATTTTTTTTTTACTGGTAAAGTTATATAACTCGTTGCTGGATTATTTTACAGCAAATATGTTAAAAGACACGAAACGGTTTATAAACTCACCAATAAAAATTAATTTTCATAAATGATTTTGTTGTTACTTAAACCAAAAGTCATAAAAAATTCCAGCAACGAGTTGCTTAACTTTCCCGGGAACATTTGGTGGTGCCGTCTGTTATAGTTTATTTTAAAAACTTTTTATATTTTTAACCATTATAAAACGGAAAATAGCTTAATTCTGAGGGTAGAGATGGATTTTATAAAAATTTGCAAATGCTAATAAGTAAAATCATCATGAAGTCTGACCGTACTGGAGATACAAACGACCCCCTTTATCTCCGTACTCCTCGATCTTTAATCACCAAAATCAATCCTACTAATAAACAAAACTCCCTGTAAAATTTCAGAAATTTTCGACAAAAAGAACAGGAATTATTAAGCTTCAAACACGGTGAACAAAAATCGTGTTCCCTCCCAAACACAAACATTCATACACTAAAAAAAAATTAGGAGTTTTTCTGTAATTTCTCGACATTTCAAGGTATTCTGAGTCCAAAAATGTAAAAATCTTGGGGGATAATTTTCGATCGATTGCCATACTTTCCTTCTATTACATATAACAGCCGAGAAAGTAAAAGGCCACTTATGCCATAGCTCGAAACTTTTGTTTATCGGTTTAAATGCATGAAAGTACGAAATTGTCAAGAAAGTACACACAACTTATTTTTTAAAAAGCACAAAATTTTAATATAGTTTAATATCAGTATAAATATTAGTTTAATATCAGTATAAATATAAAACTTGTATTAAATTTCATTTATAATTTTATTATAAAATAAAATTTGTTTAAAATTTTCTATTTTCTAACGTAAAAGTTTCATTTTCCAGTGCATACAAAAGATAAAATTTTTATATAGAAAATTTATTATATGTGAATTATCTGTACCATTTAGAAAATGTCTTTATAGTCATATTTATTTATTTACTTTATATTTATTATTATTATATTATTAAACAATTCAGATTGTTTAATAAGAAAAGACAAATAATCCTCAGACTACTTTTTGTTTTATTTTTAATTCTTATATTGTGAACGTAAGTTGATATATATATGGGCTATTATATTTCAATATTTCTTAAATTTCTAATATAAATCTTTTTAAAGAAATGATATTAAATTTCCAATTTTAGAACTAACCCGTTACATATTTTAAAATAAATTAATAGAAATATTAACTTGATTTTTTATACGTTTAGTTGTGATCAAACGGATTTAAATATTAAAATGATAATTGCAAGAAATAAATGATTAACGTATCATGAATTATAAAGCTAAGAAATTTAATTTAAATTACATAAGAAAGTAAAAAAATTACCTTTCAGCTAAAATAAACCAATCAAAATTCTTCGAATGGCATTTTCCCCAAGGCTTAATCTCATCGTCTTCAATGGTCACTTCAATATTAGGATTTCTCGAAAAATAATTTCCTCTATAATTGTCAGGAAAACGACATTCGGATGACACTAGACCTATTTGAAAAATAAATTATAAATTATAATGAAACAAGTTATAATCAACGGTTGGAATTCAGAATTAAATACGATATGTATTTTCAAATTTTAAATTATTACCTTTCCTTACTTAAACCCCTTTTTAATGTAAAGAATAAGATCTTAAAGTTTTTTTTTTTATTTAAAATACAAAATAATTTATAAAAATCTTACCTTTACCTGTTATACTTAAATATGAAAAGAATAAAAATACAATGATAGCAGACATTTTGTATTGTGGAAGTTCTTCCTTTGATAGCGAACGGGAGAGTGTTTTGCGTGAAAAAATAATCCGCAGAAAACAATCCAACAGAAAAAAAACACGTGATTTTTTTTTCCATTGATTTGAATTTGCTCCAGAAATTTATGTCTTAAATGCGTAAATTATATTTATAAATAGGTTTAATTATTAATGTCTCCTTTAAAACTAATTTTTCTATAATAATGATTATCATATTTAAAACAATATAACATTTTCAATTAGCAACTTACTACATACTTAGATGTAAATAATTGTTTGCATCATAAATATTAATAAATTTGTTTATGAAATAAAATATAAATAAACTATATATATAAAAAATAATAATAAGTTATAGTTTTACAGATAAGACAAGTGGTAAAAAGTGCAATGTATTCGGATATCCATTAAGTAAATTTTCTTTATATACACGGAAAGTGGCGTGATATAAACGAATACTAAAAGTCATCGGCATAAACATCCATTAAACACTTAAACTTATTATATATTTGCGTGAATTATACCAATAATATCTGTTAATGCATCATAATAATGGAAATAAGCTTTGTAAACCACTTAAAATATTACAGATTTATTAGCTTTAGTAGTACAATTGTACTGGTGTTAAACTAATACGCTACTTGTAGTTTTACGTGTATAATTGTTCATTAAAGATTGCTATTCTCGTTAAATAATTCAAGAAATAAATCATTTACTAATGTTATGAAATAAGTAATCGATAAATTAATACTTTTAACACATGAATTTTAAAAATTAATGTTATAAAAGGTTTATATAAAACGTTTTTTTTTTTTTTTAGAGCATTTACAGTATAACCTGTGTCAACCGGAATCTCATGGTACCAAATAATTTGTTTCCGTTCAGGCAGGTTTCCGTTTTAGACAGGTTTTACTGTATATTAAAATATATTATACATAAAAATATAATGCCATAACGAAAAGAGATTGTTTTATTTGTATTAATTAGCTATCTATTATATAGCATTAACTTATCAATTTAAATTTTTTTAAAACTGATTAAATATTATGAAAATACGTCCAATAGAAGCTGCAGTAAATCTTTATAAGTTGCTATATCAATTATAATAGACTAATATAGAATTGACATGTAAATGCAAGATAACTAGATCTATTTGTATCTATACAAACACTTGACTTTTTATATATGTGCTGAAGGCCATTTACCTTCAATCAATCATCATTAATAACAACAGNAAAAATGTAAAAATCTTGGGGGATAATTTTCGATCGATTGCCATACTTTCCTTCTATTACATATAACAGCCGAGAAAGTAAAAGGCCACTTATGCCATAGCTCGAAACTTTTGTTTATCGGTTTAAATGCATGAAAGTACGAAATTGTCAAGAAAGTACACACAACTTATTTTTTAAAAAGCACAAAATTTTAATATAGTTTAATATCAGTATAAATATTAGTTTAATATCAGTATAAATATAAAACTTGTATTAAATTTCATTTATAATTTTATTATAAAATAAAATTTGTTTAAAATTTTCTATTTTCTAACGTAAAAGTTTCATTTTCCAGTGCATACAAAAGATAAAATTTTTATATAGAAAATTTATTATATGTGAATTATCTGTACCATTTAGAAAATGTCTTTATAGTCATATTTATTTATTTACTTTATATTTATTATTATTATATTATTAAACAATTCAGATTGTTTAATAAGAAAAGACAAATAATCCTCAGACTACTTTTTGTTTTATTTTTAATTCTTATATTGTGAACGTAAGTTGATATATATATGGGCTATTATATTTCAATATTTCTTAAATTTCTAATATAAATCTTTTTAAAGAAATGATATTAAATTTCCAATTTTAGAACTAACCCGTTACATATTTTAAAATAAATTAATAGAAATATTAACTTGATTTTTTATACGTTTAGTTGTGATCAAACGGATTTAAATATTAAAATGATAATTGCAAGAAATAAATGATTAACGTATCATGAATTATAAAGCTAAGAAATTTAATTTAAATTACATAAGAAAGTAAAAAAATTACCTTTCAGCTAAAATAAACCAATCAAAATTCTTCGAATGGCATTTTCCCCAAGGCTTAATCTCATCGTCTTCAATGGTCACTTCAATATTAGGATTTCTCGAAAAATAATTTCCTCTATAATTGTCAGGAAAACGACATTCGGATGACACTAGACCTATTTGAAAAATAAATTATAAATTATGATGAAACAAGTTATAATCAACGGTTGGAATTCAGAATTAAATACGATATGTATTTTCAAATTTTAAATTATTACCTTTCCTTACTTAAACCCCTTTTTAATGTAAAGAATAAGATCTTAAAGTATTTTTTTTATTTAAAATACAAAATAATTTATAAAAATCTTACCTTTACCTGTTATACTTAAATATGAAAAGAATAAAAATACAATGATAGCAGACATTTTGTATTGTGGAAGTTCTTCCTTTGATAGCGAACGGGAGAGTGTTTTGCGTGAAAAAATAATCCGCAGAAAACAATCCAACAGAAAAAAAAACACGTAATTTTTTTTTTCCATTGATTTGAATTTGCTCCAGAAATTTATATCTTAAATGCGTAAATTATATTTATAAATAGGTTTAATTATTAATGTCTCCTTTAAAACTAATTTTTCTATAATAATGATTATCATATTTAAAACAATATAACATTTTCAATTAGCAACTTACTACATACTTAGATGTAAATAATTGTTTGCATCATAAATATTAATAAATTTGTTTATGAAATAAAATATAAATAAACTATATATATAAAAAATAATAATAAGTTATAGTTTTACAGATAAGACAAGTGGTAAAAAGTGCAATGTATTCGGATATCCATTAAGTAAATTTTCTTTATATACACGGAAAGTGGCGTGATATAAACGAATACTAAAAGTCATCGGCATAAACATCCATTAAACACTTAAACTTATTATATATTTGCGTGAATTATACCAATAATATCTGTTAATGCATCATAATAATGGAAATAAGCTTTGTAAACCACTTAAAATATTACAGATTTATTAGCTTTAGTAGTACAATTGTACTGGTGTTAAACTAATACGCTACTTGTAGTTTTACGTGTATAATTGTTCATTAAAGATTGCTATTCTCGTTAAATAATTCAAGAAATAAATCATTTACTAATGTTATGAAATAAGTAATCGATAAATTAATACTTTTAACACATGAATTTTAAAAATTAATGTTATAAAAGGTTTATATAAAACGTTTTTTTTTTTTTTTAGAGCATTTACAGTATAACCTGTGTCAACCGGAATCTCATGGTACCAAATAATTTGTTTCCGTTCAGGCAGGTTTCCGTTTTAGACAGGTTTTACTGTATATTAAAATATATTATACATAAAAATATAATGCCATAACGAAAAGAGATTGTTTTATTTGTATTAATTAGCTATCTATTATATAGCATTAACTTATCAATTTAAATTTTTTTAAAACTGATTAAATATTATGAAAATACGTCCAATAGAAGCTGCAGTAAATCTTTATAAGTTGCTATATCAATTATAATAGACTAATATAGAATTGACATGTAAATGCAAGATAACTAGATCTATTTGTATCTATACAAACACTTGACTTTTTATATATGTGCTGAAGGCCATTTACCTTCAATCAATCATCATTAATAACAACAGCAACGCGTTTCGTGTAAATCTGATGTACTTCTGAATTAAATGTGATTTTAACGATAATAGACTTTGACATGATTAGCTTTTCTTTATATGATATAACATTTCTAAACTAATAAATAAATTTTTGCTTTACAAATATATATTTTTAATTGCAGATAAAACGTACAGCCGGATGGCCGAGGCGATTAAGACGTCATCCGACCGTTCTGGGGAACCGGAATCGAATCCTAGGAATTTTTCATGGGTAATTTATCCCGGAAATGTTGGACCTCGTCCCTCATCATCCGCTGGCTTCATTATGGGTCAGGTTTAACCCACGATGGGTATGGGAAAAATGTTCTTTTGGTGTCAACAAGACGTAAAGAGCCGGGATTGAAAAAATAAATTGGATGATAAATAAAACTTGAACACAAATAGTACTATTGATTAGAGCCACGATCTAGTCAATAGTATTATATGTGTGTTAAGTTTGTCGTAAAGATTAAAATAAAAACATAAAAATTATTTAGGAAAACAAAATTCGAATTTTTAAGAAAGAACATTTCAAAATTTGATTAGAATTTCGTTCTTATATACATTCACGTAAAACGTTAAAAATTATGAATAAAATCAGAATTGTTATTTATACTTGCAGCATTATAATAGCCTTATTAGGTTGTTTAAGTTTAATTATATGCGATTCGTCATGTACACCAATTGTATATTTTTGGAAGTCAGAAATATCGCAAGGTAAATTAATGGTTGGCTTATAAGTAAAATAATATTATACAGATATAAATATCTTATACATTTATATATTTTAAAATAATGTTCTTATTCATTATTAAAATAATTATTTCTTTAATCAAGAAAACACAATTGAAGTATCTTATTTCAAATAATCATAACTTATAAAAGCTATAACTCTGTAAGTTATGAATATTTAAGAATGAAATTTTTATTGAAATTTTTCCAATTATGATGCATAAATATATGCTATGCATTGCTAGCACCATAGTATAACAGAAAATTGAATAAGTTTTCTTACATTCAATGCCTATTATGATTATCGTAGATGAAATACATGATGTGAAAAAGAATAGCGAAGGTGAATTCTGTATACCTAACTTGCAGTTTTGGGAAAATTATGAAGTGGAATCTGTAAGTTTTCCAATAATATTCGATTAAACTAGTATACTTTTTTTCTAATGAAGGCTATTTAAACGTTGTTTCATAATATAAACAGTTTTAATAAACTTAAATAAGTATCAAATGAAAACTTTAGAATAAAACATGAAAAAATTCAAATATATTTATTTTATTTGTCTTTTTTTTATTACAGAATTTGCAAAAGGAAGTGGAAGAGAAAAAGAGCATTACATTTAATTTTATCCTCAAAAGTATTGCTCAGAATTTTCTTCTGTTTATTGGATCGATCCTTCAGCATTTTCTTTCAGCCTGGATATGGTGTTGTGTTAATGATCCACTTATAGCCTGGTTTGTCTTTATTGCAGCTATCGTTTCATATCTGCGAACGTTTTCCAAGGTAAATGTGTAAACAAAAATAACAGAAATAGAAATATTTATGAGTAATAACACGATAATATTTAAAATAGAGAGAAAGAAACTCAAAGGAGGAAGATTTTAAAATTGTAAGTTAAATTTATAATTTTAAAATTATTTTTAGTTTAGGTTTTGTATAACTTTATTCATACTTAATATTTACATAATTATGTATAGATTAATTCAGATTTTATTACGCCATCCACGGAAGAGATTTTAAAATCTAGTGATGCATATCAACAAGTAAGATTTTCATATAGACTTTTTTATTATTTAAATATTTAAATATAAAAATAACAAATAAAATATAATGTACAAAAAAAATTCGAGAAAATGCTCTTTATAAGAAAAATCAAATATAATTTAATTTAAAGTTAAGAAAAATTTCCTATTTAAAACACTGAGAAAAAATTTAACTGAATACTTTTTGGCGTTTCACTATTTACGTTATTTCGTTATTCACTATTTTCACTTAAAATTAGAAGATCTTCTAAAAAAGAATTATTTAAAATTAATTTAATACTTAATAACGATTACATTAAATACAATATAATTTAAAACAAAAAAAGTATAAAAGTTATTGGAAAGAATTTGTTTTCAAAGAAGTTCTTTTCTTTGATGTGCTTTGTTAACCGCTTCTGACATAAAATAATTAACAATGCTACAGTACGTTATTCCAAAACATTTCCTTTTCCTAAGTTAGAAATAACTTATAACTCGTATGTCGTAAGTCTTGACTATATTTTACCAATATTTACAAAAATAAATAGATAAATAAATAAAAAAAATATTCACTAAATCGTATGTTTGCTAAGCGTGTGAAAATTTTTAAGTTTCTGTCATCCAGTTGTTGTGTACCCTAACAGACACGTCTTTGTTTTATGTTCTTGAAGTAAGTTGCTTATAAGCAAGGGTTGGATGTACTGTACGTGCATGATTTTTGTATATATGTTATGATATTGGAACCTCGGTAGGAACACGATTAGATGTAACCAGATCAACTTATGGTTGTCCGATAATTCATACTTTACGAACATTTTTACTGTACGTTTTGCAGATTTTTCTAGTTTCCGGTCTAAATAAGTGCATTATAAACTTTATAGTTTGTTTGTAGGATTCAAATAATCTTTATTCTGTTTTTGCTATCTTTAGCCTACAATGAATTATTTTAGTTCGTGTAAACTTCATATGAGAAATATCATTCTGTTATACAATTACAGATGAATGTGAGCGCCAGAAATTAAATTTTTTTTTTTAATTTTGATTAACTCGCTGTTTTAAGGTAACACAAAATAACACGTTTTGCATTGCCATAGAAATATCTAATCTTTTAAAATTTCAAAGTCCTTTGAAGTAACTGGAATATAATTATTATAAATGTTATATTTATTAATTAAATAATGTTAAATTTAAATGTTTCGAAATATTGCGTAAATGTAAGGAATATAACTTTTTATGAATAAAGTCATCAAATTTCCGCCTAAGGAACAAGCGCAAAATATGTAGATTCAGTTAGGCTTATTTCAACTAACAATACACTAAGGGTAAAACAGTAAAGACTAGTTCTGTATTACTAAGAAAGGAGATTTGGATCCTAAACATGTAAAACTGATGAAAAAAGTCTTTATTGTTTTTAGTTAATAATCTAAGAGCATTTGCACATTTCTCATCATTTGTACGGGCTATAAACAAAAATAAAACACTACTTTAGACTAATGACTCGTCCTCAGACATCTTATACATGTTTCTTTCTATTCTATGTATATAAAATACTTAGCTTAAAATTTTCACGACACTTTTTTCTGTCACGGATGCACTGGGAATCGATAAATCGTCACAAAACTTTTATTATGAATAAGCCTAATCTATATTGGGAATAAAAGATCGAACCCCCTAATGTTGATAAATTGAATAGTGATCAATTATACAGTGTATAAAGTTATAAAAATTTTATCGAACATGTAATTTTAATTATAATTGACCAGTAACGGATTATGTTCCTTTGAAGTGCCACTGTAATTGACTCGATATTGTATCTTATACGCCTACATGAAACATTATTCTAATACGTGTTTCGTTAGGTCATAATTTTCAAATCCCTTGTGCTCACCTATTGTTGCATGTTTACACTCTCCTGTCTAAACTGTGTGATGCAATAGACGTTAGTAAGATTTTCTCAGACAGAAATATTCTTCCCATACATATTCATTTCAACCTACAAATTTTAGAGTATATTACTGATGCTTTTAACGTGCGTAATGCATATTTCAGACATTTTAACGTGCATATATGTGAAATTTTTACGAGCATATCTATGTGCGTGTATTGCGATTTTAAACAAATATAAATCAATCTTAACTTATGAGAAAATCATTTTAAAAATTTTAAAAAACTATGATTTAGTGTTGTCTTCTCACATACAGTACTTTAAACTAAAATGTGTATTTTTTTTTAACTTAGATTCGTTTATTAAGTACATATTTAAAGAAATGCGAAAGGGTATTTTCAGAAAATATAAACGAGCTGACAAGTAGAGTAAGGAAATATTATTATTTGATATTATAATTTGTTGTTAATGTATATATTAATAGCAATATTTTTAAATAAGTTTGACGAAATTGCTGAAATTAGCAACAACGATATTCAAAAACAACTAGAAATTCTAGAAAATAAAGTAAGTTTGACTTTTGTTTTGTTAGCTGCAATTTTATCATATTTCTCTTTACAAATAAAATTATCAAATGAATAATATAAAATATAAATTGTTTAAAATATATTGATAACTTGTACACAAGACTGTCGAGACGAGAACTGGAGATTTTTCTCGTCTCTCCTCTCGATGGTCTTGTATGGTAGAGCTGTGCTTTCTACCTCTATAATGTAATGTTATTTTTACTAACAAAATATAAAATATTTAACACTCTTTTTATTAATAAAGAAGCATTATATTTAAAAAAATTATCCAAAAAACAAAATAAAAAAATGGCAAAAAGGACCGCTCTATTCCCTGCTCCATACAAACTTTCCAGGGCCTGTCTTTATCGTCTAAAACTAAAGCTTGGAATTATTTAAATTATGATAATTATGTAATAAGTATTATTTAATTATTTATAATAATTTTAAAGTAAACATTCGGAAAGTAGAGAAATAATTATAATAATTGTATTAAATTTATAATAATTAGATATTTAAAAACGAAAATATGTTGGATAAACTTGAAAACGACTTAAGAATTGAAACTGAGTGCAGGAATATTCTCGTAAACATATTTAATTAATTTAGTTTATAATTATTAAAAAAAATAAGTTTTAACGAATTGTTTTTAAATATTTTATAGATTCAAACAATAATACATGCCATCACNTTACAAGAAACAGATTCTATTGGAGGGCTTTAAATATATAAAGGGAAAAAAAGAAAACAGCTTCCTCGGAATTGGTATAGGTGAATGTCGCAGATCAACACGAGATACTCGAATAATTCGTGAATATTGTCTTCCAATTGTTAAACTAGAGGTGGGGAGATCTGCACCGATCTTTCAATTAATCTTTTATTGGAATAGTCTGTGCAACGATTTACGTAACATATCGAGTTATGAAATCTTCAGAAAAAAATGCAAAAAAATGAAAAACGGAAAAAAACTTAAGTCACAATGATATCTGTTCTTAATTAATTTTCTTTCTCAGCTCGCGTTCATTTTTATTTATTTTTATTTATTATTATTATTATTATTTTTTATAAATCTAGAAAAAATACAGAATATAAAACTATTAATATTATTATTGAATGTAATATATTTTAAGAACATGTTAACTCATTACTTTATGTTTCTGGAAAAATCACTGTATTTGTGTTCAGTATTTTAGGACAGATAACAGATGATTATGATATTGGAGTTTGATCAATAATTGCCCCAAGAACATCACCGCTTTATTCAGGAGTTTTTTACAAGACAGAACAGCGTGTATTAAAACAAGCACAACTACAATCACAAGGGAAATAAGTCGAGGCTGCCCCCAGGGGTCTTGCTCTGGGTCCCTCTTGTGGCTGTTGGTCTATGATGGCCTCTTGAGATTATAGGACAGTCAAGCTTCGAATCAAGCAACTCCTGATGCTGACATAGTTGGCTTCGCAGATGACACGCTGATTACAGTGAAGCACAGGAACCAAGAGGTGCTGCAAGTTAACATGAATAAACTATTAATACCTGTCGATAGAGGGGCCGAAAATAACAAGCTTAAAATCAATATTGAAAAATGTAACTCAATAGTTTTTCCTAGGAAAAGGCCCCTAGACAAGCATCCAGCTATCAAAATCAATGGCCAAAAAATTCGGACAAATACCGAAATAAAATATCTTGGGATCCTGATAGATAACACTCTCACCTGGAATCCCCATATTCAGAACATCAAGAAAAAATGTACTAAACTCGCACATTCTCTGCGCTCTATTTGTAGAAACTAATGGGGTATAAAACACCATACTAGCAGAACAATCTACGAGTGTGCTATTGAACCGGTGGTTCTCTATGGGGCTGAGGTATGGGGAAAGGCAGTCACCAAGCAACAGACTAAAAGAAACATTTTATCCATCCAACGGGCCTGCCTGCTAACTGTAGCAAGAGCCTATAGAACAGCACCTACCAACGCACTCCAGGTACTGGAAAATTTAGCTCCCTTAGACCTCAAAATCCTGGAAACATACTGAAAGTTTCACCTAAGTAGAAATCCTAATAGCCTCCTTACAGAGATTGATCTTCCAGCAAATATTAAAAGCATAGCCGAGTACACCATTAAACACAATATGGACTACACTCACAGGCACCACAAACTGCACCTATAAACAATATCTACATCGCTACCCAAGACAATCAGCCACGGTTCAAAATCTTTACGGATGGGTCAAAGACTCCAGAAGGCGTAGGATGTTCTGCGGTTATCTTTGGACCAAACAAACGAAACATTTGGCAGATGGGTGCAAAGCTGGAAGGGCATTGTACAGTAAACCAAGCCGAAAGCCTTGCAATATTCAAGGCTCTCCAGTTTGTAGACACTCACTTTAACAAGCAAAATAAAACTTCTGTGGAAATTCTTAGTGACAGCAAGACAGCCTTACTAAAAGTTCACAAATTAAACACAAAACTGAACATCATTGCACGAATAGTAACCCCCTCCTTATCTGTAACCTTATCTGTAAAAGACCTCAAGGTCTCATTTACGTGGGTTAGGGGCCACTTTGGAATTGGAGGAATGAGAGGGCCGGCCTTCTTGCAAAGAGGGCGGCACGATCATCAACGGAACCAGCGTTCGGGGAGCTCCCTAGCTGTTGGCTTAATGAGGAACTTAAAAACTTACCATCTTGGACTGGCAAGCCAGATGGAACAGCGATACTACGGGAAGAACTACCCGTGATTTCCTGCCGGAGACTGCAAGTAGGCAAACGATGGACTACTTCATTCTTGATTTTCACATATCACAAATCCTTATGAGGCACGGGAACTTCTGTGCCTACCTAAGAAGATTTTTCCGCAAAGGTGACAGAATATGTGACTGTGGTTCGAGCAAAGACGAAGATCCCCACCACATAATTTTCAAATGTCCCAAGTTTAGGACACCGAGAAAGACCCTCATCGAGACATTGTACATGTGTGTCCTCTATTGGCCCTATGCCCCAAATGACTTTTTCATGAATAAACAGACATTAAATCTTTAAAGAACTTCATGGTGGCATCGGGGACACGGCCCCTTCGTTCTAGGCCGTACCCTTCTCTTCACTCGGAACACCCATTGTAACCTGGCCGAGCTGGCCATTTGGGGATTCCAGTCTTGTAACCACTCTCACTGGTTCCTGGCCGAGTTGGCTGTCAGGGGACTTTACGCGTTTATTTTTAGTTATTTGTTTTATTATTTTCGCATTTAATTTTTGTGCTTTTGTATACTAACCCATTCCGGGTTGGTATTTTCAGCAGCTTCTTGGGCTTTGAGTCGGTTGCCCACGTGCATAGCTGACAATTGCTCGCGTTTCCTGTCTCCCTAGAGGCAGTATCATGTTCGGACTTATTCTCTGTATATATTTTGACCATACTGTTTTCTGCGGGCTACGCCCCATGTGTTGTAATTAAAGTATACTCAATAAATGGGACTCGACGGCACCATGGTTCCCATTTCACACTTTCCTATCATTCTTTACTTTTCTTCCCTCTTCTCACTTTCTCTAAAACTCTTCATCTTTCCTTTTCAAAGGCTATGACGTAAGGTTCGGCCTTCTAACACTTTTAATCATATCATATATTAGAATTTGATAGGCCTGTCTATAAGAATGTATGGACACCCATAGCCTCTTATCTCCATGAACAGGGGCACCCATATATTGGGGCATTTGGGGCACATAACTCCTTTTCGTCTGCATTGCCTTTTTTCCTAATCCCCGAAGGGAAGTCCAGATTCTATTATCACCAAATAACAGAAAATTTCATGGCTTATAGCCTATTATGCAAGTAAAAAGGAACTAATAAACGATATTCGTCCATTGTTCCATGCAATTTCGTTGTATGTTGGCCAAGACTTGACTCCGATTGCAATCAGCATCACCTTGTGGGAGCGCTGATCGTTAGTTTGAAGCTTCTTGCATAATATATAATGCCCTTTGTTATAGCTTGTTCCCCCCTTTTTTATACAATATGCGGGCTGCGCCGGTCATGAATCTGAAAATCATATTTTTCTATTAGTTCGTAGAAATTCAGCAATGATAAACAAAGGAACTGAGCTAACGTATTCTTGCCCAAGGTCTTCATTTATTAATTTTGTAATATAAAGATATTTTCAATTTAAGGTTATAAAGGAAGCCATTTAAGTCGCAGGCATTCTTCTCCTATAAAACCCATTAAAATTAATGATGAAAAGCATGTTAAGTTCCATGATGAAACGGATTCGTTAAATGATTTTCGAAGACGTTCAATTGTAAGAGCAGCATCCTCCAATTACTATGCTCTCATCTCCTGGTTTAAGAGACAACAAAGACGTAAGTTTTGAGGCTTAAAGATTATAAAATAATGTATTTATTAAAGTCTTATCAGATTTCTTAGTATTCATTAGAAAACTGGAATGATCAATGAAAGAGAATTTAAGCAAGACAATAAAAATTCAAATAGAATTGATAGATTGAAACAACAATCATCTATAGAAAGAATAGGAATACCCTAACACAAAAATAATGTATTTATTAAATAAGTATCAGATTTCTTAGTATTCATTAGAAAACTGGAATGATCAATGAAAGAGAAATTAGACAAGGCAAAATGAATTTTTATGATTTTAAAGCTATATAGTAATTTAACTATTTCAAAAACAATATGAAATTTTAAAGAAAACAGGTGAAATTTAAAGTAGGAGAAAACAAACATTCGTTAAAATAACAAAATAAANTAAGAGTATTTAATAATAATAAGAGGTATTAAAGGAAAATTATGTACTTGTAATAAAGAGTGTCAATCTTTGTCTCACAACACTCACAATAAACAAAAATACAAAAAGTTGTACAAATTAGCAGGGACTTCCGCAGGAGATTTTCCAGAGGGTGGCAAAATTTGCAGACAAATAATTACACCAATAAGTTTTTATTCATTTATTTAAATTATTTTGGTTTTTTTTTCTTACAAGTAGATTACAGAATACAATATTGCATCAAAGTGGCCCATTGTCGAGGATGTAAAGTTACATATCTCAATCACTTTTACGATTATAATTTGTGGAATATTTTACTCGTTCCTTGAGAGGGGCAAGTACCCCTTTGTTCGTTCTATATCAATTAATTGATATATAATAGAGACCGTAAAAATTTATAATTTATATATAATATCTTTATTATTGTTATTTTTATTATATTAAAAGCCACGAATATAAATTATACAAGTTTTAATTTTCGTTTACTAACTCTGGATATATCTCTTGTTTGTCTACTCTAAATTTTTCAATAAAAGAGTTAATTTTCTCAAATTCGAATGATTTGGTAAAATCAAATTAGCCTCTATTCTTTGATAATCAATTTATATAATTTATATTCAAGCTGAATTTTATGGGATTAAGTTCAACGAGCCAATTGAAATATTGCACGAAATAGCAAACACTATTGATCCAGACAATATTATATGTAAATCACATTAAGAAGAGGAAATTGTATACATGCAACTGTAACAAGCAACAGAAAAAGTAGTGTTTGGGAATATAAATCAAAATGAAACTACTAATTTTCATAAAATAAATTGTATTTCTGAATAAATTCGGATTCGAATTTAAATGTAATATTAACAATATTATTTTTAATTCTAAATGTATTAAATTTAGAATTATTATTTAAATTATTAACAAGATAAATGAGAGTAAAAATAAATAAATTTTTACGTATATTAAATTTCAATACGCACAGATATATTTTAAGCACTTCAATATAATGTAATCATTATATGAAATAATTTAAAAATTGAACTTCCGAATGAAATCTTCTATTAATTTTCAAAAGTAGCAATATATTCACAATTGTAAATAATGTAAATTGAGACGTTGTAACATGTGCGTGTATACTTCTATTTATAAATTAAACACGTGAGTTTGTACTACGGAATAAATGTCACAGAGTTATTACACAAGGTTTGTATATTTTTCTCACGGACATTTTCGAATAAAATATTTCCCAGTTGCGTTATATCTAGAGGTAATAACCGTGGGATAAATACGCGAAAATTTAAATTATTATTACCCGTATCCATTTGTAAATCGATAACTACCTCCGAATTTAAATAAATACTTAAATCCTTTCTTTACCGTAAAAATAATTTATTTTATTTATTTTTTCTTGTACTATTCTTACTATCAAACCGACGTATTGAGCAAGTAAAAGCAATTTGCACATTTGAAATCACATTTGAAACTTATAAGTTTCAAAAAAGCTATGTAAGATTGATATATTGAATTGTTTGATGTAGATATGTTTTTGTAATGTTTTAATTGACCTATGTATACCATTTGTTAATATATGTTCTGTACTATAATTATTTACTCCAACTAAAGAGGACCTTTTAATTTCAAAGATATAAAATAAAAGATATCAGTGTGATTGTTCTTTAAATATGACCACGTTTTTATTGTACTGTACCGTACATATGAAGAAATAAAGTATAAAACGAAAAGCTTTACCATAGAATATTTCAACGTTGACTCAGCGTACAAAGTAAAAAATGTAAAAGAAAGTGTAATTATCTTTTACATTTTTGTTTTGTACCCTGAAGATTTGGCGTGAACATTGTTGGTGTGGTGTGAACAGCTGCCGAGATGGCTGAGGTAGCAGCTATTGCTTTGGGAGACAAAATCCGGACAGTTCAGAAAATTCCGGGAATTTTTCGGGGTGGGCTGTCTGGATATGTTGGGCCTCATCCTCCACCACTACACCATGCCATTGTGGACTTAGCCGAACCCATAACGGGCTTCCTAAAAGGTCTTTTTCAACGTCCACAGGGCAAAAAGAGTTATTGGAAAGAAACCTATTATTTAGTCAATTTCTTTCAAACTTTTACAACATATCTAGTAATATACTACCAATAACAGGTTTGGGCAAATTTCGTTTCCCTCTTAGTTTTCATTAATAGTTACACTTTCTATTGCCTTTCTTCTTATGTCATCTATTAACTGTAATGAAATACCTCGTAAATTTGGGTTATCCTTAGACATTGCAAATACGTGAGCTTGAAATTCTAAAAATCTGTCACTAAGAAACATTTTCCGAGTTTCCGATTGTCTCTATTAAAGCGGAAGCTATCACTAGTGATGTCGAGTAACTTTACGATATCTGAAATTACAGGGGGTAGATTAAATCATATTCAGACTACTCAAATAATAATTTGAACTCGATTTATTTTTACTTCCCGGTAATTTGAACACCATTTTAAGTTATCTTGAGATAAAATTATGCTTTTTTAGAAATATATCTCTTATACTTCTTATGTCTCTGGTAATACTGTATTTCAATTAAATCACTTTTGATGTTTTTCTAGATATATTTTATTCAAAATTTCTTTTAGCTTCTGATTTCTTTTTCTTTTGTATCTTTCATACTTTCTAAATAATTTTTTTTTTCTTCCAGCAAATTTTGATCTGTACATTTTTTAATTTTGCGATTTTTTAAGATGATGCTTTTTGTGCTTGAAAACCTTATTTTCCCTTTTTAATGGAGGTAAACTATTCAGTTTATTCGATTCGACTTTATGTAAATATGAATTCTCCTTTATTTTCATTTTATCTTTTTCATAGTATTTGAAAACGATTTCTCTTTGCACTGTTCCTTTATTTGTGTCGTTCTCAACCTTTGGAAATTCGCAAACAGGAGAAGGATTAAATAATTTCTTAATTTTTTCTTTTTCAGACAAATTTTTTGGAATTTTATTAATACGTTGGGTAATTTTTCTTTTAGACTGATTCATTTCTTCTTTTAATTTATAAGACCAATTTGTTCGCGGTTTTGCAAGTTGCGACAATCGTTCGCTGCATATCGATTTTGATACAACTCTTTTTGGAACGGGAAAGACAATTAATTTCGGTTTTATTTGTGTAGTAGGAATTTTACTGTAAATACATTTATTAATTTGAAAAGTATTTTAAACATTATATATTAGGCTGATCTTATTTTCTATAAATATTAATGTATTAAAGTACAAATTGAAAAAAAACTTAAAATTATTATAAATTGTTTAATACTTTTTAAACTACGTGCTACTGAAGAAAATTTACATAAAAACTTACGATATATGTTTTACAGAAGTTGTTGTGGATCCTTCTGTTATAAATGATTGCTGTATGGGATATTCTAAACACTTTTCTAATACAGTTGGCTCAATATATAATACATTTTTAGCTCTTTTTATAAAGTCTAATTGATCTGATCCATATAAAACAAAATAAGGAAATTTTGGACAAGCTAATTCTGCAATTCGTTCAGTTGGATGGAGAATTCTTGAAATGGGAATTAAAAAATAATCTTCGTAATTTTCTTTAATATTATTAGTATTTTTCTCTTCAGATTTTATGAAATTATTCATGATAATTTCAAAACATTTTGCTGTTCTTATTCCTATTATGAAATTAAAATGAGTTTTAATTTAAAAAATTTGTAAATTGTTGATATTTTTATTTAAAAAAACATTTGAAGTAAATAAATGTTGACAATGCCGGATTATGGATAAATTAAATGAAGACCGGTCATAAATAAATTTGAGGGTCTTCCTGTATAGGACGTCCTTAACGCATTAGGAAACTTATGCATTACCTACATAGTGGTGGTAGATTCAGGTGTCAAAAATCAAAAATTAAAATATATAGCGTGCTACATATATTGAATGGTCTGATGGCCGAGGAGTTAAGGTACTGGCTACCGCTTTGGGGGGTCCGGAAACGAATCCGGCGGGTCGAAATACCCCAGGAATTTTTCTTGGGTGGCCTCCATTGTGTGCTTGCGAAATTCACAGTGGATATGATTTTAAAAAAATGCTTATTTAGTGTCCACAGAACGGAAAAACTTTAAAAAAGTATAATTTTAAATATGCTACAGTATATCAAAACTAAGGACAACATTGTAATTTCATTATTTTTGTTACCACAATAAAAAGTCATCATTTATAGCTCAAGAATATTGCTGTTATAATTGTTATTACCAATATTAAAAGAAAAATTTTAATTTTTGTTGAACTTTTCCGTCCGATGGCTGGATTGTTATTAAAATATATCAAAGACAAGTCTGTCCAATAAGGAGCACCATTTATTTTGCGTTTAAGACATACACAATAATGGCGACAGGCCTTCCTTAAATGGTGCTTCTTATTGGACAGACTTGTCTTTGATATATTTTAATAACAATCCAGCCATCGGACGGAAAAATTCAACAAAAAGAAATTTTAAATGTACCGTCGCCAGGGGACAGCTTCAAAATCTACATATTCCAGCGCTTTTTTAGTAGATATAAAGTAGAACCATCCATTGGCCAGATGGATAAGAAGTAAGACGTCTGTGTCACCGATTCTTTTACTTTTGATTGGATGTTTGTGTTTTTTAAAGGACTTTTTTACCTTTTGGCGGCATGTAGCCTAAAAAGGAAGGCCTGTCGCCATTATTGTGTATGTCTTAAACGCAAAATAAATGGTGCTCCTTATTGGACAGACTTGTCTTTGATATATTTTAATAAAAATTTTAATATTATTTCTATTTGAATATAGAATTTTAAAACATAGTTATGCCGAAAAGAATTCTTAGAATGTTAATTCTAAGAATTCTTTTAAATTTGTGTCAGTATTTTGAAAATCTCTAAATTAAAATGTGATGTACTCACCGCAAAAATGTTAATTTTACTTTCGAGATCAGAAGAGAATTAATTTTAATAATATTAAGTTGTTACACATTAATTGAATTGTTACATAATGCTAAATTTACGATTGTTAATTAAATAAAGAAAGCGGTTAGGAGAAAGACCGAAACTTCCTTGCCTTCTTCTTAATTGATGCGGTATTTGTCGAAAACGATCGAGCGGTAGAGTAGCCGAGTACAACTTCGGTCATACATATTCTAAAACTGGAACGATACAGAAAATATTAGCATGGTCCCTGAGCGAGGATCACATGCAAAAACAAAAGAGAAAAAAAAGCGGTAGGGTGGCTGGCGGTCTAAGGCACCAGTCTCTTTAGAGGCGTGGGTTCAAATCCCACCCCTTCCAACGCGGTTTTTGCACATTCATCAAACGCGAAGCATCCTTTTTTACCCTTTACCTTATTTATACTAGATATTTTTACGCTTTTTTACGATAACGTTTAACGAACGCTGGTGCAAAGCGCTTGTCTGCAAACGTTTCTGTTATTTTAGTTTTCCACCGTAATATGTAAAACTCACATTCGCTTCAGAAATCTTTCCGATAACCTTAGATTTCTAAGCGCAAATAGATTGCAAATGCGTTTACGTATTGTGCAGACGTAGCAATACGATGGTTCTCCGTTCGTTCGTCTTCGTAAAAATCCACAAAAAGCGAGTGAGGAAAGCGACGATTTGATTTGATTTGCATATACCGACGCAAAACCACATTAATTGGCAGGGGTGGGATTCGAACCCACGCCACCAAAGAGACTAGTGCCTTAGACCAGCGCCTTAGACCGCTCGGCCACCCTACCAATTGTTACCAAAATTATAACTGTGCATGTTGATTGACACTTCGAGAAAACAAGCATAAAGTTTTCTATAGTAGTCAAGCTTTTGCCATATAAATTGACTACGAGTAATTAATTCTCTGCGACTGTATGGCCTCAAATTTGTTCTGTGCTAAACAAATACTTGTAATAGCCACAGATCGATTGCGTCACAAACACCGCCCGAAAAAAGGATAGGGTTTTAATCAGAAACGCGCTATCCATCGTTACTTCTTCGGAAATGTTATTTTTTTAGGTCTTCAATGTCATAATTCAATTTTACAACGGATGCCCAGGCAAACTGAAAGTTATATCTGGTCTTGTGTGACCACGTGTACCGTTTAAATCATAAACAACGCGCAATCAAAACGCAGCTTAGGGGTTGGTAGAAACTTTTAATGGAAAATCGCTTGAATTTTTGCGCCTATAGACGTTGTAGTCAACTGTAAAATTTGGCGCAAAACTTAAGCAAGAAACGACCAAAAGTTGACGTTGTAAACAGAAACGATCGCATCCGTATTCACCCTTATCTGTGTGTGGAATTTATCTCAAAGAAAGTCGCTATATTCAAAGTAGCAACAGATGCATTGTATTTGAAGTCAGGAAAAGACAAACGATTAGCTGACTGCTCTAGTCGCTGCAAGCGAAAAAAAAAGTCGAACACATAGACGAAAGGTTATATGAGTGCGCATAACGAAACGTTTGGATATTGCAAGAGCCTGTTTGAAGAACAAAACCGGAGCACGATTTCAAGGGTTTGTAGGGTGGCCGAACATTCTAAGGCGTTCGATTCATGTACTAGTTCATCCACTAGTGGCCAAGCGGTTCCATGCCCATGAACACTAGGACTTCGGTCGAGGGTTCACGCCTCGCCAGAACAGGCTGGCCACGTGGAGTTTTTCGAGTTTTCTCAATGTTTGTAGGGCCAGTCACTCTTAAAAGACCTCCCGGAAGGCATCTCCCTAGGCAGCTCGCCCAAGTGTTGCGTTGCTGATTCTCGAATAGGGAAAATGGTGACCATCTAATGATAAAAAAAAAAAAAAATGCTAGCTGAGATGATTATACGCTAGTGTGGTTGGCCTCTTTAGCCTCACATTGGCTGTTGTCTGCTGCTGACGGCACGCACCGGGTTTTAGGAGAAAGGCCGAAACCTTCTTGCCTTCCAGTGGGGTGCGATGACATTTGATGATAGGGAAGCTGTGCCGGCCCTGGATAGAATCACTGGAAGCGTTGTTATACGATACTTTGGTGTGCATTCACCAGCTAAACCTCGTGAGGTTGATGCTCTGTAAAGCACATGCGTAGAATCTGGCTGCTTTACACAATTAAAGTATTTTCGCCGTGGAAGCTATTCCGCATTCTACAATACAACGCTTCCATTGGGAATATGCATATACGAATTTATATTCGAATATACAATAGCAATCTTATCATTTTTTTCACATGTAGTATAGCAATCCATATATATAAAAACGAATGTATGTCTGCCTGTCCTTCATGTATTACTACACCATTTATCCGATTGCTATGAAAGTTTGGGAAGTTGTTTAATATACTCCCGCGAAGGTTTCTGGCATAGTACATTTATCCTACGACAGATGGCGCATGAGTATACGAGCATTTCATCGTGAGCATTTCAGCAACGTTAGGAGTTTAAACTTGAAATTTGGTACACAGTTAGGGTACGTTACGAGAACGCACACTAACAAGGGATTTTTTGACATCCCCCTCGCGGGGAAAGGGACAGGATTAAGGCTTCAACAATGGAAGTGTTAAGAATGGAAGTGTTAAGAGAAAGCAACGTGCAAGATTTACAGGCGCAGATGCGGTTTTTTGCGTTAAATCGAACATAATTTTAGACCCATCTAAAAATTTTCTAATTAGTCTGGAAACAGGAAAACCTAATTTTTGCATTCTGTGAAAACGGGTAAGATTAGCTGTAATGTAATAATCTTAATCTTCACTATCCTTACTTTTTGCCCAAGCAACGCCGGGCTTATCTGCTACTTTGTAATAAAATACAAAATGCGGTTATAATAAAATATTAATTTTAACTAATTCAAAGTATGTTAAAATATGAAAATAATCGCACAATATGTATTTATGCTTTAGAAAATACAAGGGAAGCGGTGCACACTTCCATGAACGGCACGCCGCTGTTAACGGCAAACCTTCTTAATTGATATGATATTTGCTGAAACTGCTGCAGCGGTAGGGTGGCCGAGCGGTCCAAGGCGCTGGTTTTAGGCACCAGTCTCTTCGGAGGCGTGGGTTCGAATCCCACCCCTATCAATTTGCTTTTTGTACATTTTTGAAACGCGAAGCTTTCTCTTTATCCTTCACGTTATTTGTATTAAACATTTTTACATGTTTAACATTTTCATGTTTAACAAACGCCGATGCAAAGCGCGCAGAAACAGTTTGTCTGTAAACGTTTCTGTTCTTTCAGTTTTCCACCGTAACGTGAAAAATTCGCATTCGCTTCAGAAATCTTCCGATAACCTTAGATTTCTAAGCGTAAATCGGATTTAGTGTCGACGCCCTTTGCTATTCCTGACGCGGGATTAAAGTCTCCCCTATTTTCACCTAGCTTACAAAATCATTCAAAGCGTCGTCTGTCTATCTTGATCTCGAGAACAAATTTAGATAGATAAAAGCCAAGACCAGTCGTGAAAAAAGCGATTAACTATATACGAACTTTCCAATCACAACCAGAATTCACGATATTTCAATTCAAAGTTTTCCTTGCAAGGAGTTAGATATATGATCAGCACGACTCGATTGCAAACGAAAACGAATGATGTACAGGGAAAATACACTACAGTACTAATTTGAGGCGGAGAGCATATGCTGTATTTTAAATTAAATAAATTAAAATTATAATTTAAACTTGCAGTCCGGCATTGCGACGATGTCAATAATTAACTTTTAAAATTTTTTCAAAACGACATTTTAACTAGCCATTAAAAAGTATGCTCATCCTGTTACTAATATAATTTTTACAAGGAATATTAAAAGTAATTTAAATAAAAATAGATACAGTGTTCTTAATGCAAACTTTCGTTTTCATATTATTCTGAGACTCTTAATTTATAATTAAAATTAATGCAAAAAGAATAAAAGAAATTATCTTATGTATCTTATCATATTAAAATAAACCGAATATATCGAAATTATCAAAATTTATCATTGTAAAGATATTTCAAAAAATCAATATTCTATTGGTTTTTTGAAATATCTTTACAGTGATAATATATTATCATTTATTTTACGGGTATAAAAATGGAAAAAATATATTTTTTTACTTTAATTTCTTGAGTAAGATGATTACAAAGTTGTTATGTATTATTAGTACTCTCTTTCTATCACTATACGTGATAGACGGAAAGAAGTTTGGACGGTGTGAACTAGCTAAAATTTTGGTTGCTCATGGCATTGCTCGAGACAAGATCTCTGACTGTAAGAATCTTTTGATAGTTATGAAAATTGTAAAAATTTTCTTATTATAGCTAGTTTTATCAATCGAACAGAAGATGTAATAAAAAAAATTAATATTTAGGGATCTGTTTGGCTGAACATGAAAGTTCATTAAACAGTGCTGCGAAGAGTCGCCCTAATAAAAATGGAAGCGTAGATTTTGGTATATTTCAGGTATGATTTATAAACATTTTTTAAAATTTCATATGCATTACTTTCCTGGCTGTTATGTAGGGAAAGTATTGGAATCGTGTCAAATTTGACCTTCCGAGATTTTTTCAAATCTCCGCGTTTTGAGACCTCCTGAATCCAAAAAGTCAAAAAAACTGCAAAAAGATTTCGGAAATATGTATGTATGTATGTATGTATGTGTATGGATGGATGTGTTTGTTTCTATTCCGCTTAATATCTCAATGATGCTCTCATGATGGCTTGTATATGAGGGGCATTGTGCTATTAAATTTTGATGGTGAAAGGTCCAGAGGGTAGGGAGATAAAAGGGGGTCATGTATCTCGAGATGGGTAGGACTTAATAAAGATTTTATTCGTTATTAACATTTACACTTTTCTTCTTTATAAAACTCATCCCAACCCTCAAAATTAAGCTTTTTGACATTTTATAGTAATTAAAAATATAAAAGTTTTTTCTAACACAATCTTATTTTTTGTTTTATAATATAAAAGGTTTTTTAAATTAAACCTCAATAGCCGGGAAAGTTATGCAACTCTCATTGCTAGATTTTTTTTCCTTTATATTTATTACAGATTAACAATAAATACTGGTGTACTCCTCCAAGTCAATATAATGAATGCAACATAGAATGTAGTAGTAAGTTTAATTAATATATAAAATTGTAAATAGAATAAAAACGATGTTTATTAATTAATTTATTTTTCCAGAATTTTTGGACGATAATCTAGATGATGATATTAAATGCGCAAAAAAGATTTATAACAGACATAAATTTGACGCTTGGTAAGAGAATTTTTTGATGATAATGTATGGTTTCGCTTTTACAATAAAACTATTAGTTATAATATTATATAAAAATATGCAAATTGAAAACATAGTAATTGTAATTATTATTCATAGGTATGCTTGGAAGAATAATTGCAAGGGTAAAGATTTAAAAGTATATGTGAAAGATTGTAAATATTGAGCTTTCTAAATGAGAAGAATATACTCGTAGTTTAGAAATACAGTAATAAATAAAAAATTTTCATGCAAAAAAAAGGTTTTGAAAAATTAATTGTTTATTTAATTATTTTGTAAAAATATAATAATGATTTTCATTATAAATGATTTAAAGAAGGGTATAGAAAATTGAATAAAGCAATTCGTTAACAGGTTTAAATAAGTCATCTCCTAGTCATCTTGAAAATATTATTAAACTGATTTTCGAATTTTCACAAGCAAATTAATTACTAAACTATTAAAATATAGAAAAAAAAAAAACCCTATTAAAATCAAAAATCCATTTAAATTCAGTTAAATTAATGGGTAGCATAAAACAATACGAAATACTTCTTTTTGTTTCCCATTCTTTCCGTTCTCTGGGCATTAATAGAGCCTGTTCTGTTTTTTTATAATAATCATGCCTTCATCCAGGCTCACAATGGGAAGAGCCTGACATATCAGGATGGACCACCATAAAAAATTTCTGGGATTCTATCTCATGCCGAAAGCCAAATTTTAGCCGTCTGGATGGCTACAGATTTGGATCTCCAAATCCGCCATTATCCACATACAAGTATTTGATTTGATTTAAGTAAAAAAAAAAACATGATTGAATACTAACTAAATCAGAATTTGATGTTAAGTGTTTCAAAATAAATGATACATTTGAGTTAAATAATGCACTGGCGTTTATATTATGCTAACAAAATGTACACGTATTTTCTTAAAACAGTATTTAATTAAGTTAATAGACTATAAATAAGAGGAAAGTCAATATGGTTCCTTACGTCGTCACCTGTAAGTTACAGAATATGATAAATTTGAATGTTAGTTATCCGGATGTATGAATGCTTTTTTTTCTATTCGCATTGAACGAATGTTAAGAAGTCTAAGATCTATACACGCACACTTTACAAGTCCATTCCTTTGAGAATATACATTACATCAAGAGCCTTTTGAATCACTCTGTACAATTCATATTTATTTAACTTTTTCTATATACTTGTCATTATATTCTATTTTAGCCATAATATAATACTATAATGAAGAAAGTCTATTACAACAGGATTCTGTGCATAGCAAATTAATTACAGATGAAAACATTACAAATTGTTATTATTGTTTTTTTATTATCAAGCAATAGTAATTTAAAAAGTTTGGTTTCATTTTTAACAAGTAACATTAATAATTGTTTAAACTTTTTCATCCTCTGAACACTAACGAGTGAGAGGTCCTTTTTAGTTATACTCAACGTGGATTCAGCCCGGCTCCCAATGGGAGCGAGGGACGTCACATATCAGGAAAAGATCTCCTATGAAAAATACTGTGTTTGCTCACCTAAATATTAAGGCTTTATTTGTTTTAATAGAATTTTAGAGTCCATCTTTATTTTTTGTTTTTCTTTACATCATTTTGGTTTCAATTATATACTATTTCTGAATACAAATATCTTAACGTTTCCCATCATTTTATTGATTTGATAAATTTAGATGATGACAATTTCTGTAATTACTCTTCAGAAAATTATATTATATGAAACAATTATAACATTATATAAATTATGTATACGCATATAAAAAAAGTATATTTATATCAATACATTGATAAAAAAGACAGACAATTATTCTCATCGGAAAACTATCAATTGCGATATGCACGGTAGGAACACTGATAAATATCTTTAATCTGAAAAATAATACTTCTGTCGTAACTGACAACGAATACTCTAAACCATAATTGAATTGTCATTATGAAAAATTAACTATAACCTATTAAGTCTATGAGACTTACGTATGTATGATTTTATGTAAATTTGTATCTGATTCGATCCCGGATTTCACAGAGCCATAAGTTTACTTATTCGCAGCCTCCTCATCGGATTCCTGCTCTGTATTAATCATTAGCTGCATTTGATTATTTATTTATTTATTTATTTATTTAAGTTGCTTAGCTTGATTTTTATTCATTTTCTTCCAAATATTCTTTTCACATAAGATTAATTTTGACTTTTTATCAGATAGTTCTGGAAAAGTATCAACATTTATCTTTTTAAATTTTACTTAAAAAGTAATATTATCTAATTTTTTTTTACAATCAGATAATATTAATATTTTGTACACTTCGTTTACTTTATGTTCAGTTTATAAATATTTTAATTTCATTCGTGCAAAAAAAGAAGGAAAAAATAACGATAAAATTTGTGCCCTATGTTTTCCGACATCTAGAAAATAACGAAGACTATAATAAGAGAAAAACTATAAAGAATATGTAGTATTTTAATTTATTACATATAACTTTTATATTAATAATTAATCGCTATAGAGCAAAACACATTCTACATTTTTATTTGGTAGGTGTAAGCTAATTAAAAAAAAAAAAAAGTGGTTTAGTTAAGCAAAATCCGAAACTATCGAATGAGATTGTCAGATGAGGTGATAATGTTCGGTGGCCTGTTAAGCCTCACGTTGTTGTCTGCTACCGTCAGCACGCACTGGGATTTAGATAAAAGGACGAAGCCTTCTTATCTTCTTTTTAATTGATATGGCATTTGTCGAAAACGATCGAGCGGTAGGGTGGCCGAGCGGTCTAAGGCGCTGGTTTAAGGCACCAGTCTCTTCGGAGCAGTGGCGTAGCGTGGGTGTTAGCCGCCCGGGGCGGAGGAAAATTTCGGACCCCTTATTTAGATATTTCAATTTACAAGACCAAAATTCAGTTTTGTCACAGAACAAGCAATGAAAAATTCGGTGGTAGTGCAGCGACCTGTTTAATTAATTAAAATACAGTAGTTCTATTGAATATTAGTGGTGTATATGAACGCGAATGAATCGTACAAGAAAAAAAAGAGGTCAACAGGTTTCGCATGATTTCCTTGGAAAAAAAAAATTATTAGTTCACCCGGACGGCGAGCCGATTCCCGGACTGTCCCGACGATAGATTGGGTTGTTTCAAATTTTTACAAGATATTATTATTATTTATTGTGAAATTTTGCCGCCCCCTAAAAAGAGCCGCCCGGGGCGGGCCGCCCCTGCCGCCCCCACTACGGTACGCCACTGGTGAGGCGCGAACCACGAGCTCGATGTTTAATCCACTCGGACACTGAAGCGCTTCTTTTATATATAAAAGAAACACTTCTCAAGATTATAATAAATACAAAGACGTTAGTGTTTCGTCCGGAAAAACAAAGGTTTGATCGCTGTAAAGACACGTATACTTTTGAACCTTTTTCATATTCCTTCTGATCATATATAACGGAAAAAAAAGAAAAATGGCGATGATTAAAGAACCAGCAAATCACGAAATTTTGTATACATTTTTGGACTCGGGAGACCTTTAATCGTCGAGAAATGGAAAAACTTCGGGTTTGTTTTGTACGAGCGAAAGAGCACAAATTGGTTCACTTTCGGGCCTAACAAAGATTTTCTTCGTTATTCTTATCTTATAAAACTTATTTATACCCAGAAAATTAAGTTGTTCGACATCTATATCTATATCTATATCTATCTATATATATATAAATGGACATGTATGTCCCTATATTTCACTTTTCCGCCAAAACTACACATCGCACGTGAATGGTGTTTGTATTGGTGGTAGCCCCAAGTCTCCATCCGTGCATAGGGGTGGTTGCGTCTCGATAGCTATAAGAGTGCGGGAGATATGAGGCTGAAAGTGGTTGAAAGTGGCTTTCTATTTCGAATGTTTTGTTCGAATTTGTTCGAATTAAATTCAAACATAAAATTCGAATATTGGTTCGATTATAGAACGATTGTAAACGTTCCAGAAACGTTGAAAATAGTTCGTTTGACTAGACGTGAACAGGAGACGTTCAGAAATAGAATCGGGACCAGGTCTCTAATTAGTCTGGAAACGGGGGACCTAATTCTTGCATTCTGTGAAAACGGGTAAGATTGGCTATAATGTAATTATCTTAATCTTCACTATCGTTACTTTTTGCCCACAAATAAAAACCCAGCGAAGCGGGTCCTTGCAGCTAGATTCTAGATTGCTTAGAAAAACAGTATTTTATATATAAAAAATATAAACTATATTACATACAAATGTACGAACAAATAAAAACCCAGCGAAGCGGGTCCTTGCAGCTAGTTTTATAATAAATTGTTTTATATCTTTTATATAAAAGATTTTCAATAAAATATTATAAGAGATGGCGCCACACGCAATTCTAAATGTTAACGAGAAATTTAAGAAACTCCTTACTAGATTTTCAATTTTTTTCACACACAAAATTTCATATAAATAAAAAAAAAACATTAAATTTAATGTCATATTTCAACAATGTTGTTGATGTAACAATTTCCAATTGTTTCAATTGTTGAAGCAAAATGAAGCGTTCTTTCGAAAGTATACGTTTGCGATTTTCTAGTGAGAAAATGAAGAGAGAAAGGTAAATTTATTCAAAAGCAATGTTTACGAATGACATTTCTTTGATATTTATTTAAAATTTCATCAATTTAGTTATAATAGAAGTGATGGAGCTGAACCCGACGGTCAGCAAAATCAGAATTATTGGATTAATAATGTAAGTTATTCAATTTCATTTATCAACTTAAAAATTAATTTTTTGATTAAAAGTCAATTAATAAGTCTTTACTCGATTTTGAAATATGCATTAAGAGTAACAAATATTATTATTTTGACTTTCCGTAGAAATTTAATGATTTGCCCGCCAATGAGTGTTTCTCCGCTTACAACGGAGATTCACCATTCGAGGTGAACAAATTTAAGAGAAATTTAAAGATTGGAAGATTTAAACAGTTTTTCAAAAGTATATTTTCTAAACTGTTGCGCTGTTGTTGCGTAAAAGAAGAAAATTCCGATTCACCGGTAACACTCGAGTTTCTTTGCTTTTCTCTGTTTTTCAATTAACGAACTTTAAACTAAAATATTTTATAATTTAAAAGTGCGAATCGGAGGATTTTCAATCTGGACTTGAACGTCTAAACAACACTAAAGAGAAGTACAAATTCCAAGAAATTGGTGAAGGATCTTTTGGCACAGTCTATGTGGGTCGGTCTAAAAGTTCCGACAAAGCAATCGCTGTCAAAGCCATCAAGAAACGACGGTTTTCCCTAAAGCAGGTATGCATTGAGCCTTGTTTTCCATATTCTTTCTATCTAAAAACGATACAATGTCTGTAACGACGTTGGTACAATCCAAGAATCGAAGAATGCTACTTTATTTTATGTTTGAAGTTTGTACACCTGACTGAAAAAACACAGTTCATTTATATAATAATGTTGTTGTTAATACTTTTCAAAAATATTCTATAAACAACTAATGCATAATATATTAATTTCATATTTCGTATATATTAATTATACTTTTTTATTTACAGGAATTCGATATTCTCAAAGAAGGAACTGCTTGGCGCCGTGTATCTAATCATCCTCACATTGTCAGTTTTATTGGTCTCTTCGAAACTGATATTAGGTAAGCTTTATGTTTTTTGATATTACTGATTTGTAACATCTTATGTGTTTCGGGTAATAAACTATTCGTGTTTTTCAGTCACTGTTTCGTCTGTGATTACGTGAATGGAGAGAATTTGACCGACTTTTTGGAAATAAATGGAATATTATCGGAAAACCAAGCTAAAACGATCGGTGCACAACTTGCTTCGGCCATCATTTACATTCACGATAAAGGTATTTTATTTAAATATATTTATACATATAAATTTTCTTATGTATGCACGGTGTGACAAATTATTTTACTCTCTCCGATAGAAATTTTGATAACTTAGTCACTGTTTCGTCTGTGATTATGTGAATGGAGAGAATTTGACCGACTTCTTGGAAATAAATGGAATATTATCGGAAACCCAAGCTAAAACGATCGGTGCACAACTTGCTTCGGCCATCATTTACATTCACGATAAAGGTATATTTTCTTACGTATGCACGTGTGACAAATTATTTTAGTCTCTCCGATAGAAATTATTCACAGAGATATAAGCTCAAACAACATATTAATAGATAAGAAAAATGAAGCACATTTGATTGACTTTGGTCTGTGCACGGTAAGTACTGTAGGCCTCTTACTGTTTTTCAACTGTGCTTTTCTTATGACATGCCGATTTTATTGTTTTCAGTTCGAACGCCGTCCAAAATACTTCTGTGGCACTCTGTTCTATTTATGCCCAGAAATTCTTCAACGGAAGGAATACGGTAAGAAGCGATATTTACATTTAATGGAATTTTTATTTCTTTCTTTTATTGGTGAAATCAATGTATGGTTTACAGACGCTTACTGCGATTGGTGGGCGTTTGGAGTTGTATTATACGAGATTTTGGTTGGAAAAACTCCAATGAACGTTTATTTGGAAGAAATTATGACCATTGAAGATTTCCAGTCATTGCCGATAACCGAGAAACTTCAAAGTAAGTATTAATTCAGAATTCGTTAAGAAATAAAGGAAACGATGATTAATATTAAAATGCCGTTGCAGTTGTTGAAGAAGTGGAGTTAACGTATCCTTTTGAACTACCGCAGGATGCCAAAAAAATAATCCAGGATTTGTTACAGAAAGTAAGTTGCATTTTATGTAACTGATTTTTTGATTTTTCTACTATACATTTCACGAGAGAAAAATTTTTTTGAATATTCTTTTTACATGTCGTGTTGTTTATTTTGATATATTAAACGTTTTATATTATCTTAAGTCATACAATTTTACACGTTTTATAATTAACGTGAGCTTTTTAAAGCATTTTAAAATTTTTTACTGAATCGTTTTACTATTAGTTAATTACGTTAATCGCGCATTGAATTCCGGTTTTCAGTAACTGACTTAATTACATTTTAATCATTGATAAGAAATTTAAAAAGTCATCGACCTACCACACCTTACTTGTTTGTTTCATTGCAATTTCTCTGATATTGTTTAACAAAGACAAAAGTATGGTAATTGAATCGAGAAGTTGCAACAAGTACAATTATATGACCGCAGGGTCGGCACCTCTTTGATGCCTTGTCAAAACTGACACCATCGTGTCTTTTCGGACAGACACAGAAACCTGATTGGTCGCAAATTTCGTTGCGCGAGCGGTCGCGCTTGTAGGCTTCCGGATTCTAAATGGAGGCGGAAAAAGATTACCGGAAGAAGTACACTTCACAGATTAACATTTAACAAAAAATACCCGTTTATTGGTAGCTATTATTTACATTTTAGAAGCTTAATAACACAATGGCTACAAAAAATTATTATTTATTAAATCGTGCTTAGCACGATTGCTAAAAAGTGAGGGATAAACCTATCGCGACCCTGACCGAAAGAGAGAGCGTGCAGTAAGTTCGCTAGATGATAAATACTTTAAAATACTCGTAAGTCCTAGACTTACGAGTATTTTAAGGTATTTATTATCTCGTATCGATGATAGATCTAGGATCGATGATCCTAGACGTATCGATGCGACGTAGGTGTGAAAGTTCGGAAACTGAGTTCGGAGAGTAATCCTTTTTTGTCTTCTTAGACGGCGGCGAGCGACGACGGCTGGAACAGCGGGTCGGAACACATACACACACACACTTTAGAAAAGGTTGATGACGACTGCTCCGGGTTGTCATCATCCCTCTTTTATATTAGGGGCTCCTCCTGGGTTTTCCCATGACTTGGTTAAGTTTTTTAGTATTTTAGGACCAATAGTTAAATCTTGACTCGTTGGTTCCGAAGTAAGTCCGTGGGAAACAGGTTTAATCATCTCTTGGATGATTTTTCTCTCGAAAAATTTGTTTATATAAATTTTTTCGTCAGGCCCGTGCTCACAATTAACTATTATTATTGTTGACCATTTCAGAATCCTGAGGAACGTCTTACAGAAGAAAAAATAAAAAATCACAAATTTTTCGATGATGTGTCGTGGCCTATAATGCCAGAGAACTAAATCTTTATTTAAGAGATGCAAAGAATTGTTCGAATGGATTATTTCTGTCCTTTCGTTCCTTTTATTTTAAATGTTTTCTTTTAATTTCATACTTTATTCGTTATAAATAAAGCTTAATTAATTACAAATCGTTCCTCTTGTTTTGATTGTGTCACTCGTCTGACTTTTATATGATCCGCATCATAAATACGTTATTATAAATGATATGTAATTAGGAATCATTCAGTGACACGTTGTCCATGGAAGCTGTGGAAACGCCGCTTCCCTTGTTTTATTTTAAATATAAATACATATTGTTCCAGTGATTCTCAACAATTTTTTCGTCGCGATACACTTTTAATAATTAAAAAATTTGGCGGCACACATGGTTACTTCGGTAAGTACCGCAGAACAACCAGTGACGTCATAACAGTGATTTTTAAACGAATTTGGTTATTTGGGTATTTTCTAAACGCTTTGGTAACTATCGGCATTTACCCGTAACACTGGATACAATTTCCAAACGCGCTCTAGGAAGGTAGAATCGATTAAACTACTTGTCTGACGTCGCTTATGTATGGATATTAGAGAGGTTGCGGCCGACGTTTTCAACGCGAAAATGTATACGTCGGACGTTCAGCGCCGTTTTCCTATAAGCCTAGAAGTTTGACAATGGTGTTTGGATAGTCAGTGGAATCATGCTCGACGTCCCAAACACCATTGCCAAACCTCTAGGCTTATAGGAAAACGGCGCTAAACGTCCGACGTACACGTTTTCGCGTTGAAAACGTCAGCCGCAACCTGTCTATTTGCAGTAGTTGAGAATCACTGTATTGTGCGATTATTTTAATATTTTAGCGTATTTTTAATTACTTAAAATTAACATTTTAATATATCCGCATTATTATTTTATTACAAATTTCTATACATGTGAAAAATAAAGATAAGATTGTATATTCGAATATAAATTTGTATATGCATATTCTTAATGGAATCGCTGTATCGTCGAATACGGAACAGCTTGCACGGCGAAAATATCTGAATAGTGTAAAGCAGTCAGATTACAGGCATTCGCGCGCTTTACAGAGCACCAAACTCACACGGTTTAGCTGATGGATGCTACACACCAAAATATCGTATAACGCTTTCAACGATTCTATCCATTAGCCACTCGTAGGTAACTATTTGACTAAGTGGATTGTTTTAAGATTTAAAAAGTGAAGAATATTTTCTGTTATTTTTATGTACGTTTTGTCGAAATTTAATTCTTAATTTTAAAGTAAGTTAATTGTATGAGAAGCCGGTGGGGTTGAAGAGTAAAGCTCTAATCCATTTTGCGACATCAGGACAGCAAGTTCCGCTCAATTGTTACTGGATGGCTGTTATCGGTTTTTTTTTAACTCTTTCCGCCCTGTGGGCACCAAGAGGGCTTTTTTTTGCAAGCTTATTATGGATTCGGCCAGGCCCACAATGGGGCTGCCGGGTGGTGAGGGCCCGACATATCCGAACGGACCACCCCCGAAAAATTCCTGGGGACTTTTCGACCCGTTCGGATTCGAGCCCGGGTCCCCCAGAGCGGTAGGCTACAACCTTGACCGCTCGGCCATCCGGCCGCAACTGTTATCGAGTTAGTATTTAAATTAATTGGAGGACGTTTTCTTACATCGAGTGGGGAGGTGCGACGAGTCCGCCGATAGGGTGACTGTTGTCCGAGTTAAGACAGTTTGACAAGTTAACTAAAAAATAAAGGTTTAATAAACTAAAGTAAGCGATATGTAGAAGCTACTAAATCTATACACAACTACAATTATCTGTTTGGTGGGATAATAGATATCTATATATATTGTCCTTTATATGTACTTGAACCGAGAGAGTGTACAATTCTAATTCCATTTTTAAGTACAATACCTCGTGACAATAACTCAATGTTTTTGGATCCTGTTCATGCGATGGTGGGGAAGACGATCGTGGATCTAGTCGAAATAGTATCGGCGGTTAGTAAGGAGTAAGGTTTTATGATAACACAGCTTCCCTATCATTAAACTTCACCGTACGCCACTGGAATCACTGAATGACTTATGAATGAAAGAAAGGTTTCGATAGGCAATCTTATAAACGAGTTATATAATTAAAACGAGCAATTAAATATTGTGACATCGTCACAATGCTGGGCTGCAATTTTTAATCTTATATTTTTTTTAATTATTTAATTAAAAATATATGCTTTTACCTGAAATTAGTAGTTGTTTGCCCCTGTGCGTTATACTTTACCTTTAAAAAATATTTCGTGCTGTCATCTATCCGGTGAAAATTTCGGAATTGATATTACGTTACTTTCGGTTCTCTTTGAAGTTTCTGTATAGTAAATTGGGGTTTTCTTACTTTCCGGTTTTATTTTTGGTTTCCTCTTTCATGTTCACTGCGTTGCTCCGTTTTTTCTTTGTGATCTTAACTACGTTCTCGAGATTAAGGAAAGATATGCAGCCGGAGAAATAAACAGGTAATAAAATTATGTCTATCAAACGGTAAACCCGAGATGGCGATATAATCAAGTCTGCTTTAATCAAGAGTTCAATTGGTAAAAGAAATTTTTACTCTGTACACATTTCAAGATTAAAATATCCCCCTTTCAGGTAATAGATACATAAAAGAATTTCTACATTAGTAATTTTAAAACGACAGGGTAAAAAATATAATAAACATTTAATTATCAAAGTCGAATTTTTACTTAAACACATCACAGTAACATCACAATACGTTCTTCGAAACGTTTAGTAGGAACTTCCTTGTTTTCAAAACTTTAAGAACAAAAAAAAAAAAAAAAATAGAAAAACAATAAGGCAAAGAATTAGATTTAAAAAATTAAATAAAATATACATCGACACATAAAAATGTCGAGAAAAATTCATACAATTTTGAAGACTTAACTGTTATCAACTGGAAATGAAAATCACGAAGACGTTAAGAAGAACGTTTTATGACTGCGCTTTCTTATATCAATACTTATGTAGTAGACTTTGCCAAATGAAATTTAACTCCACACTTTTATTTAAATTAATCGAATTTAATTAACTGTTGTAATAATTCAGTATATTCCTAAAGCAGTTTTTTATATAGAGTTTTCTCAACATATAACCGTGTTCGTGCAACACAAAAACTAAGGGGACTGTCTATAATCTAATCTAATTGACGTCACGTGTTCCTCCGACTTCGTACCTAACTTTCTCCTCGTTTCACCAATTTAATTATCGTTTTCCTTACGTGTACTGCTTAGTTTATACACTATACAACCCACAACGTCTCAAACTTACTTTGTATGCAGTGAAGGCTTACTTGTATTTTTTAATTACCTTTTGAATTTTCCGTATTACGTTAACGGTATAATTTTTTTCAATTCTGTTCTCTGCATAATTGACAATTCAAGTTAATTACATCCCAACAAATTGAACGGAGAGCGGACTATATCCGACAAGGCATATAAGTAATGTTGATAAGCAAAACTGCAGAACAACTCACTGATCCTGCAGAGAAACCAAGACCATTGGGTGTTGCAGAATACTTGACGAAAACTGTCAATACATGCAATCGTTTGATTTTCCAATCCTCTCACTGTCATAAAAACAACAATATGCAAATCGTGCAATAACCAAAAGGATTAAGTTGAAATTAACATCTATTCGTTGCATTGGCGTAGCGTGGGTGTCAGCCGCCCGGGGCGGAGGAAAATTTCGTCCCCCCTTATTTAGATATCTCAGTTTAAAAGACTAAAATTCAGTTTCGTCACAGAATAAGCGATGAAAAGTTCCGTGCTAGTGCAGCGACCTGTTTAAAATAGCTCTATTGGATATTGGAAGTATATATGAGTAGCAATGAATCGTTCCAAAAAAAAAAAAAAAAAANCCCGTTATTTAGGTATCTCAATTTAAAAGACTAAAATTCAGTTTCGTCACAGAATAAGCAATGAAAAATTCCGTGCTAGTGTAGCGACCTGTTTAAAATAGCTCTATTGGATATTGGAGGTGTATATTAATACGAATGAATCGTACAGGAAAAAAAAAAGTCAACAGGTCGCGCAGGATATCCCCGGATGAAATTACTAGTTCACCCGAACGCTGAGTCGATTCCCGGACTGTCCGAATGATAGCACTATCGTAGGCGCGACGCAAATATAGAATAGAATGGTTCAAAATTTTTAAGATATTATTATTATTTATTGTGAAATTTTGCCGCCCTCACTACGCTACGCCACTACTTCGGAGGCGTGGGTTCGTATCCCATCCCTGCCAACACGATTTTTGCGCATTCTTGAAACGCAAAGTTTTCTTTTTACTCTCTACCTTATTTGTACTAAACATTTTTACGCTTTTTTATGCATAACAAACGCTGATGCAAAGCGTGTAGAAATAGTTTGTCTGCAAACGTTTCTGTTATTTCAGTTTTCCACCGTAATGTGGAAAACTCGCATTCGCTTCAGAAATCTTTTGGATAGCCTTAGATTTTTAAGCGCGAATAGTTTGCAAATGCGTTTATGCAGTGTGCAAACGTAGCAATATGATCGTTCTCCGTTCGTCCGTTTTCGTAAAAATCGAGTGAGGAAAGCGACGATTTGATTTGCATATATCGACGCAAAACTATACGTAAAAAATCGCATTTATTGGCAGGGGTGGGATTCGAACCCACGCCTCCGAAGAGACTGGTGCCTTAAACCAGCGCCTTAGACCGCTCGGCCACCCTACCTACTGCTTGTATTGTTACCAAAATTGTAACTGTGCATGCTGACTGACACTTCGAAAACACAAGGGATACAGTTCTTTTATAATAGCCAACCGTTTGCCACATAAATTGAATACGAGTAATTAATTCCCTGTGACTACATATGACTATATGGTCACAAATTTGTTGTGTTAAACGAATACTTGTAATCGCTGGAGGTCGATTGCGTTCGCGAACATTGCCCGAAAAATAGACAGAGTTTCCATCAGAAACGCGCCATCAATCGTTACATCTTCGAAAATCTTTATGCATTAGATTTTTACTTTCGTAATTCGATTTTTCAACGAATACCCAGTCAAACTGAAAGTCATGTCTGGTCTTGTATGACAAGATACATGTACTGTCTGGTATTGGATCGTGGAAAACGCACACAAAGGCAACCGAAACGCAGATTACGGGTTGGCAGAATGCCAAAGAAAGCGTTGGTGGAAAATCGCTTGAATTTTCGCGAGGAAAGCCATTGTAGCAACGTATAATATTTGGCGTATAACCAAAGCAACAAATGACGAAAGTTGACGTTGTAAACAGAAACGATTGCATCCTTATTCACTCGTAACTGATGTGTGGAATTTATCTCAAAGAAAGTCGCTATATTGAAAGTAGCGACAGACTGTTGCATTGTAATTGAAGTCAAGAGAAAACGAACGATTAGTTGACTGCTCTAGTCTCTGCAAGCGAAAAAAACGTCGGACACATAGACGAAAGGAAATATGAGGGCACAACGCAACGTTTCGTTATTGCAAGAGTCTGTTTGAAGAAGAAAACTGAGAAAAAGTAGAATTTGTGAAATTAAAATTACGAAAGTAGGATACATGAAAAATGGCTAATTTAAAAAGTCACAACTGATGACTTTGAGAAAGTTTAACGGTGGAGATTCTTTAATGTAAACAAAACATAGCCCAATGGCTACATACTCATCTCGCCGCTAATGAAGTCTTATGTTCGGGTCCATAGATTCTCAAAAATTATCACGGGTGAACCGATTCTGAAACAAGTGACACGACTCCTGATATATCAGAAGATATATCAGGAGTCGTTACTTTCAGAATCCATCCGTCCCACTATATACATGAAATGTAAGCCTGCCGAATCCAAGGACTTTAAACTACAAGGATAGCCAGATCCCGTATATTTCTTAGCATGACCTTGGATCTATGTGACGTCACAGCAAGCCCTCTACTTCAACATGACAGACCTTTCAAATAACAAAATACGATAAAATATTAAATCATTTCTTAATTAATTATTAAATTACTACTAAATGTAAACTACTGTAGAATTTTCGGATTTAATAAGTGTACTGTACGTCAATAAATTTACAAGTCTTTTGTCTAATATTTATTTAACAAATTAATGAGCTATATTTTTTATTATGTGATTATCTTACTTAACTTTTTAATTTTTTTTCGACAATCACCATTTTCAGAAGGCATTCTTTTCAATATTTTATAGTTTTCTTGTTTAAGATTTCTATAATTAATTCTTATTATAGTTCTTAATTTACAAAAATCTTTTATTAAAGTAAAAGGTAAAACTGTTTCCACTGACTAATTCTGTACAACTCCGGGGCCTTTTTTATACGATTCATCGTGATATATTTCGAAATATTTATTCCATTCTATAATTTTTGCTAGCCATTCATCAGTAGGTTTAATAAGCCCTCCATAAGATAAATGTTGCACCCATGACGGAATGCTATAGTTGTAATGATTTTTAATTTTGTTAGTGGAATTAATTAAGTTTGGGTATTTTTCTTTATATTTATAGGCAAAATATCCTGCTATATACTCGAGAGCATCGTAGGAAGTTTCTTCAGAGATTGTGTTAAAGTCTAGATTGCATGTAGAGTTTCCTGAAGATTTATTTGAAGAAAAAGTAGTTTTACATTCAGTATATTGGTCTGTATTTTCACTTGATACTTCTACATGTGCTTTCTCTAAAACTTTGGGTATAATATATTCCTCTTGTCTTCGATCTGTAGTATTTACTTTTGACTCTAAAATACCAGGATTCTTACCTAAAATAATCAATCTAATCCTATATATAGCATTTAATGGGCTTGGATGTTCATTAGGACCCCGGCTTCTAATTTGAAAAAAAAAAATTTTCCAGACAATCTTGATTTAAGTGCAGATGTATTTTATATCAAAAGTCGATTTCATATCTTGAAAAAGATCAATTAGCGATTTCATTGAGATTATCATTCCTTTCTGGAAAATTTGGAGGGCATTTTTTCCACTTGCTCTCATTGTTGAGATTATTTTTATCATTTTATTTAAATGTTCTTCTTGTAATTCCAAGTCTACACCATATCCATTTTTGCTTGGAACAGAACCTTTTGGTGCATAGCTATTAAAAATGTCGAACCACATATTTATATCTCTAATATACGTTTCATTGATAATAATAATTGATTCATAATAAACGTTTCATTGATATTCACATTCAATTCTTTCCATAAACTTATGTTACTGCAACTACAGTCACTGACGCAAGCTACTACATTATACGATAGTAAATAAAGTTCTGCTATTAATTTTAAAAGTATTTCTCTTGTCATTTTTTGATCAAACCCGATGTAAACAGGTTGCTTCCAATTTGAAAAAAGAAGGTTATTATTGCAACCATACACAGCACACCTAGTACTCAGCATTTTGTTCTTCACCTAACATAAAAATATAGCTTTAAATATTTAATGACTTATATTTAAATCATCTTACCTTATAAAAAACTTAGTCAAATAAAACAATTACAGAAATATTAAAATAAATCACTTCGTTAATCACAAAATTGGACGAATATTAAAAGCGAAAACTAAACACGTGCACACCCTGCTCTATGTAAACAAAGAGGTCAGGTCTCTACATGACGTCACTAACTTGGCATTCCTGGCTAACATTGTAGAATAGGGATCTGGCTATCCTTGTAGTATATAGTCCTTGTGCCGAATCCTTGATGGACATGAAAAGCCCTTCTTAGTGCCTAAAGGACAAGAGTTAAAGTTAATAATAATAATAATAATAATAAAATATTCATATAATAAATACATAAAAAATTTTTATGTATTTATTAAATGTAGATAACGCCAGCCATGTATGTTTTTTTTACTTAAAATATACATATAATATTTTATATAATTTATTTCTTACACTATATCTTTAAATAATCAGACAAAAGCAAAAGGACAATTTGCAAAAAAAATTACAGAATTGTTTTTATTAATATTAAATAAATACTATTATTATTTACTTATTATTATTATTTTTTTTTTTTTTGAAAATTTGGCTTGCATTTTAGGTTTATGATGCAAGCGCCTCTAGTGGTAACAGTTGGAAGGAATAACGGTTTGTTTCTGAGCGACGGAAGTGTGATATTACTACCTCGTAAATTAAAAAACAAAAGTAAAAATAAAGCACAATCATGACAGAGTAAGTAAATTATTCTCATTCTTTGTATTTTAAAAAAGAAATAATATGTGACTCAACACTTGTGGGTAAATTGCAGTTCTGAATGACGGGTTTGATCTTTCGCACATTGTATTCCCTAGAGCGACAAAACACTGATGAAGTCACATACACTTCATTTAGAGCTGCATTTATACTAAAGTGGACGACGTTTAAGAGATGATCATGACTTAAGGAGGCCAGACCAGGCCTCCTTATGTCATGATCGTCTCTTAAACTGACCACTTTCAGTCGAATCAGGACTGGCTTTAAGCCAATTAGACCAATTTCTCCTAAATGGGCCCCGCACTAGGACAATCCACGTCTTAATACATACACACAACAAAATTGCAAGTTTTACAAAGAATTGCAACAGTTTTAATTTCTGAATTCTTTAAAAGCTGGTTATGTTTGTGGATGGTGTGATGAGGGATGTTGCCATCCTGCGGATATTGTGGTTTTTTTTTTGTTTTGTGTCATTTTCTCACATTTATGTTTTGTAAATTTATTACTGTTTGAATGTTCTATAACTTAATTTTAACTAGTTTAAAAAACTATAGCTAGTTTTTTATACATTTTCTACAACTGTAACCGCTGTTAAATTATTAATAAATAGGTTTCATAATTCTCATGAGAAAAGGCAAGAATGAGAACTAGTATGGTGACTGTTAGATAAAGCAGATTTTGTCCTGTCTTTTTTATCAGAAACAAGAAACATAAACACAAAGATTATTTATTATATAACAGTTTGTTTATTCTTTTTTTTAAGTTAAAAAGGTAAGATGGGAATTCTGTATGAGTGATTTGCCACCCCTCCAGAGCTATCAACATTCCTGTACAATCAAAAAAGTCAATGGACAACCTTTATGTGTGACTCTTCATTAGATATATGCCTCCAAACATCAGTTTTTACTGTGAACTGGCATGGAGTACAGGAAGTATTCTGCCTGTTCTCCATGCTCCACATTGGTCGAGACAATCAATAGCTTGCCTTGACTGACACTCCACGTGTAGTGGTGCACTTTGGTGTTTACCGTCACTCGCATTTCAGTATCCATATGGGGCGATTACCACACCTCCTAAAACTATATAACATCAAGTACTCTACAGTCAAGTGGACTACTCAAAGCTGGCTTAGTTGTGTGGACCAAATAGTTAAATGCAGAGCGACAGGACTCCTGATTGCGTGTGACTTGGACATAGGCTGATTTTGGGGAGCTGTGTATCTTTCAAAGTGTCACATATAGAGGTATGGTTTTTTTGCTCCTATGGGTATGGTCTATGGCATGTTTTCAACCTGTGGGTCAAGACCCCCAGAGGGGTCACAAAGCCTTACATGAGGAATCTTGGGTAAAAGAAAAAGACAAGTGTTTGTAGGTCCTACACTACAATAGAAAAAACTACAATTTCGTTGAGAAGGCTGGGCCTGTTTATTTTACAATACAATTGGTTTTTTAATCAATATTTAGGTCTCAACAAAAAGAAAATTAAATATGTAGTTTTTAAAATCACTGATATAGTTTTAATATGGCCCGGGGGGTCGCCAGAATTTTTTAACTTGTAAAGGGTCGCGTATTCAAGAAGGTTGAAAAACACTGGTCTATGGTTCTGATAAGGTCTCATTCGGCCATGTAATTGTACCGTTAAAAAGAAAAGCATGTGAATGTGTATAACAGCTTTTAATACCTATAAATTCATAGCATTTTACAAATGTTAGTCAATTTTTTTGACTAACATTTTCAAACAGTGATGAACTCTTAAATTTTAAAGAGGAAAAATAACTATCATAAGCATGACAATTCTTATATGACCACATGAACAAAAATGATGTAACACGACATAGGGACAATATAACAAAAAGTTCTTGGTTTTATTACAGTTTAAATGTTGATTTTAATTGTATATTTTGTAATTTTATATATTTACCATTACTTTTATTTCTATTTTATATATCCCAAGAATCTCTTTTCAAAAAAATGTTGCTGTTCAATTTAAGCCATTCTGTCAACAAATACAGAATCAAGACCTAAAGTAGATATCCAATTGAAGATTGAAAATGTTAGTCGAAAAAACTGTTTCAAATTAACTGTTACTGGAAAATAATTTAAGACTTTTGTGTGAAGTATTTATTATATCATTCCAGTCCAATAAGTGGTGTTTTATCTCTTTTAAGTATACTATTGTTTTTCATTACTAAGGGAAATATGTTTATTAAAGCAATCAATACTTTATTTCTACTCAATAATTAACTAACAAACACAGTTAAAGTACTTTAATATTAATTTTAGTTAAATGAGTAATTTTTTAAAGCATCATCATCATTGAGTTTTTGTTGATCTTGATCAGAAATATCATCATTATTTCCATATTTTTAATTTTATCGTATTTTTCTATGAATGACAAAATAAAAATATGTTACTAATCGATAATTTGTTCTAGCATGTCACATTTGTTTAGTCAAATACTGAACATTTTTTCCAGAATTTGTGCTTGAATACCAAATTGTTCCATTTGGGAACAGTTTGAGTATCAAGATAACTCTGTGTTGTGTTCATTATTTTTATGAATGATTACTTATGTATGGTTAGAAAAATCATTTAATAACACTTACCTAAACATGTTTAAATAATAAATAAACTTTACTAAATATGAAGATTAATCTGTAAAAACAAAACACGGTGATAGTCCTAAGAACTAAAGTCTGAAAGCAACGACGACACCTGGTTGATAGGAAAGTTAAGGCTAGAAAGGAAAAATTCTACTATCAGCTTTCATTAAAGTAAACATGATGAAAGGCACAAAACAAATTGAAAATTTCAATATGCTAAAATCCGTGGGCAAATTTGACATTCATACTTACTTGGATAAAAAAAATATTGAATAATGAAGTATACATTAAAAATTGTGAAATTTTGTACAGAGGATTTCTAAAACCATGTTAGAGGGAAACTGGAAGCTATGTTGTACAGGGGATATCCCAAATTTTCAAACCGTGTTAGAGCGAAACCATGTTGTACAAGAGATACCTGTACAAAAGCTACAGGTACATTTTAGTTTCTGAACCATTTTTTTCGAGTACCACATTATTCTAGTGATGATTTACAATTGAACCATTTTTACTTAGACATCCAATATCTATATCTTGGTGTTAGATAATTATTCTATACATTTAGTAACTTAATCTAAATGTTTCAATACATGGATGTAAAATATTAACATTTGATCAACTTGATTTATTTATTTATTTTTTTTAAAAATATTTATATCAAGCTCAGTCTTATTTTGAATTCATCCAATATATTTGTTAAGTTGTTAAGTTGGGCCAATGATTTTAGTTTTATATCCATACTCAAGTACAGTAAAACCTTGAATTTAATGGACAAAATATGGACATAATACAGCTGGGTGGCCACAGAGGTAAAGACTTCATCTTGCGTGATTTGCCACCCCTCCAGAGCTATCAACATTCCTGTACAAGCAAAAAAGTCAATGGACAACCTTTATGTGTGACTCTTCATTAGATATATGCCTCCAAACATCAGTTTTTACTGTGAACTGGCATGGAGTACAGGAAGTATTCTGCCTGTTCTCCATGNTGTTAAGTTGTTAAGTTGGGCCAATGATTTTAGTTTTATATCCATACTCAAGTACAGTAAAACCTTGAATTTAATGGACAAAATATGGACATAATTCAGCTGGGTGGCCACAGAGGTAAAGACTTCATCTTGCCTCTCTGAAATTCCATCTTCAATCTCTGAAGTCTTTATTAGATTCTCAGAAATTTTCATCGGTGAACTGACTAATATATTGAGACCAGTCCCTCTTACCATCCATCTACCTGAAATGTAAACTTGCTGATTTATGGCACTTGCCAGCTAATCCTTGGATTGTTCTGAATTTCAGTGGTTGCTGTAAGTTCAAACCAGTGGTTATGAAACTTTATTGATTCACAGCGCACTTGCTAAATCCAGATTTTTCCAAGGCAGCTGTGTCAAATTCTAACTAGTACAATTTGTGAAATAGCCAATATTTTTTAAATTAAGTAAAATTATAAAATTTTTATAACATTTCATGATGTCTCTGTGAGGAAGCTGCAGCGCACAGTGCACACTTGGGAACCGATGAGATAGGCAGTAGGTCTAGTCATTTTGGAAAATAAACAAATAATTCTAGTAAAAGTAATCTTATTTAACTTTCTAACATACCGGGTTGAATATAAATCTTTTAACCAATTAACCAGAGCAATTCTTCAGGCATTCACTCAACCTTTGAGTGAATGCCTGAAGAAGAGCCCAGAAGGGGCGTCAAAAACGTTTGCATTTAAAAACGAATGTTGCTCTGGTTAATTGGTTACAAGTAAGAAGTTTTATAAAGTTAATCTTATTGAATTATCAATTATTGAATATTTATTATTATTTGTTGAATAAATTGTATTTGTTTGATAATTCAATAAGATTAACTTTATAAATCTTATTGATAATTCAATAAGATTTATAAAGTTAATCTTATTGAATTATCAATTATTGAATATTTATTATTATTTGTTGAATAAATTGTATTTGTTTGATACTTTGTTCATTGCAAGTAAGTTTTGTTAGAAAATATAACTGTGCCCATTGATTAAAAATAAAGATCCTCTTATTCCCACAGGATAGAAGGGGTAAAAAAAATGAAAGCTAAACTATGGCAGATGGAAACATTTGATTCATCATTGATGATTGCATGAAACCATCAATAATTTTGATGCTATCACATAGCACTACACTACATGGGGGCAACAGAATATGTGCATAGATTACTAAAGGTATATGCAGATGACATATATATATAAGTCATCTACAGACACCTATCATTTGCAATTGTTATTTGACTATTTATAATACAAATTGGAATATTTTTGAATAGAAATGGATAAATCAGGACATTTTGGGAAAAATTTTCTTACCAGGATAGTGTTCCAAATTGGACAAATGTTGAAATATCAAGATGTTTGGTAACCCTAATCCCATGTGGTGATGAATCTACATTCAAATAATTTGTCATGCTTTCCCAACATTTTCAGTGAATTCCTTAAATGCTGATTTATCACCTTTGTCCATGTAATGTACAAACCATTCAAATTTCAAGAAAACTTTCACTTTAAGTGGTCCTAAAACAACTTGTCTGTGGAAAGTTATCTGAAAAACTTTGAAATTTATTATAGTGACTGTGTCTAAAACTTTAATAAATGAAAGTGATTTTATTTAATAAAATATTTTTTATATAAATATGCAATGGTAGAAAAAATAAACACAATTAAATGAAAAAAGCCTTGAGATGAATATTTTTACCCAATTAATTTCTAACAGCTTTAAATTTCAGTTTCTCTGAGTAAAATAGTCATAAAATTGTTTAATAACCATTCTGTTTACAAGAAAGAAATGTTCCAACAGGGAGAGAGACAATAAAGTTTGGACATTAAAGGAAAACATCAATGAAGGTGGATACAATGAAAGCTATGCTTGTGTTAAAATTTAACGTGGGATCTTGTACAATTAACTTTAAAAATATGCTAAAGAAAGGCACATAAGTAGAGAATTTTGTATTTATTATGTTTAGCAAAAAATCACAAATGACCAATCTTGTTATTTTTATTTTAGACTCTGTTGTGCAATAACTATACATTTCCAAAAAAAAAAAATTCATTTCACTTAAAAGTATTTGCTTTGATATTTTTTTTATGTAACTTAACTTGATTAAATGTATTTTATGTTTTCAGATTTTATTTATATTGAAACTGTTTCTTTAAATACGTATTATAAATTGTAACATACAATTTACAATATTTTTAAAGTCTTCCAAGTGTTGTTGTATATTTCCTACTTAGAAATTGTAATATATCTCTCATTGGCTACTTAAAAATCCAGCTGTTTTACTTTTTAAATAAAAAGTAATTTAACAATGCAATACATATTAATGCATATTTATGTATTTAATTATATGAGATAACCAGTTTATTTTTTGTTCTTTTATATTTAGGTATATTTTTTAAAAAAATTGATCATTTTTCTATTCTTAACAAATATTTAATAAATATAATTGCCAAGACAATAATAAAATATAATAATATACACAAATTAGAAGTAAATGTCTTTGTATATATAAAAATGTGTATATTTTTTTTATTCTTATTTTATGTAGATTACTTTTTAATTTGTAAAGTAAATTTACACCTCTGAATTATATTCTTATGCTTTGGTGTTCTGTATTGGGACTGACCAGGAGCCTGATAGTTTTCCTCCTCTGGATATTTTGTGGTGACATTTTATCCTTGCACCTTAAGTAAAGAATAATTTAAATAACAAAATTAAAAGAGGCATAAACATCCTTATTGTTATCATTAAACTTGATAAAAAAGGAGTTTTTCTCACCTACAGTCTAAATCTTGTAGCTATTTTTACAACTACAGAAAAATTTCTTCAGAACTACTGATCTTGGTTAGTGATCATCAGCTCATGGACCATTGACTGCATGCAGTCTTCTGAGTTTTTTTATGCAGCCCATGATTATAGATGTACAGTACAATGTAATGGAAACTTCAAAAAAGGTTTAAGATCCTCATTACATTGAATAAATTTTGAAGTAATACACTTATATCCTCAAATTCTAGTCATCTGATGATAACTAAATAAACAAAATCACAAATAGTAAAAAATTAATAGCAAAAGAATACTTTAATTTGTAAAGTTTAAAAATTAAAGTATTCTTTGCTATTTGTGTTTTTTTTTTTTTTAATTACTTCATCCACTTATTCAATCTGTTTATTGATCACTTAAGTTTCAAGTACAGTAATACCCCGAACTTACGCGATAGGTGGGACCGAGCGATAACTGCATAAGTAAAATTCACGTAAGTCGGGGTATAATTTTGCAATTTGTGTAAAATCAAAATTGGATGTATGTAAGCTAATAAATGTTCTCGTTAATCTTATCTTGTCTTTTGATTCGTTCATGGTTACAAGAAATCACCACATAGAGCCTGTCAAGTCTCCGTAGATATAACAAACACAGAAATAAATAACACAAAATAAATTGTAGCTATGTGTCAATTCTGCGTGACACATCCGAACATGTAAGCTAAACAATAGTGTGGGGAGAGTGAGTAATCAAGAGTTGCATGGCACTCAAACAAAAGACGAATCGATGAGATTTGAAAATTGCATAACTCCGGGGTAGCATAAGTCAAGGTATTACTGTATTTAAAAACCATGCATAATAAATGACCAGATTCTTATGACTACATATATTTTTGAACAGTTTTTTCAATAATGAGCATTGTGAAGAATAAGTTAATAAACTGAGTTGTTGTGTATTTCAGATATTAATTCTTTAATAGCTAAAAAAAACAGTGTTAATGTTTTCAAGTTTAATTTGTTGAATAAAACAAGTAATTTAATTTATAAATGTTTTGTTGCCATTTAAGATTAATTCATGAACATTTTATCTTTTCTGAATTGGCATTCATATGAAAAAATATATATATAGCCTATCACTGATACATATGTTTGTGTTTAATTGACAATTGTGAATAATTGCACAGTGACAAATGTAAAATATTTTATTCATTTCTTAATTAAGTGGAGTATTGGTGTTTGTTTTATATAAACAAAGGGATTAATTTCCTGCAATGTTAAATTTATAACTAAATAAAATTGAATTGTAAATAAATGTTATTTTTTTTATTTTTGCAAATAGTGTACAAGATAGAAAATTAAAGGATTTGCAGATGAAAAATGCCAGTAATCAGAAATTATCAGAAGGAGGAGATAGAGATAGGTATTATTTTATTAGTTTTATTTTATATTTAATTAAATTTATATTTTAAAATATGAACAAATAAAAATATTTTTATAAAATTACCACAATATATTGTTAAAANTTTATTAGTTTTATTTTATATTTAATTAAATTTATATTTTAAAATATGAACAAATAAAAATATTTTTATAAAATTACCACAATATATTGTTAAAATGCAAGTGAAGTGAAGTTGAGCTATAAAATCAACTTATTTTAAACTATTTTGTTTTGTTACGGTATATTAATAGTTTTAAATGTTATTTTATGATTTTAATTTTTCAATTATGAAATAAGTAAATACTAAGTATTTAAAAAATTTCAAGCCATACAGTTGCTAAAAAGCTGACTAGACAGTTTATACATAATTTGATTTAAAATTTTTTAATCTTTATTTTAAAAATTACTTCACACTGACATTAAAATGGTTGATAAATGAAATAAATTTACGATATTTAGTTTCATTTAAAAAATATTTTTATTTAGAATTTAATTTAATTTTTTTTATAACTTTCATCTAATTTTTCTCCAGAAAAATCATAACTTCAAACCTTCAATAACATTTTTTATTTAAGATGTAAAGGACTTGGTTGAAAATCTTGCTACAATTATTCCACAGAATCATGGCATCTCATTATTAATGAGGATGGAGAGATTTATTGGGGACATTTAATAATTAAGTTTTGATTATAATTATTATTATTTTTATTATATTATTATTTCTGAATAAAGTTCATTGAGAAAAACTGTGATCTTTTCCTGTGTTTTCTCTTCAAACATTTACATTCAAGAACATTAAAGCTCTCTTTATACACAGGCCACTTTTGTACAGAAACGAATTAATCTACTTATAACATAGTAAATTATACTTGATAAAATTGTGAAGATGCATAAGAATATGAAATATTTTAATCATAAGATATTGATAACAATTTAAAATATAATACCTATACATAAAAATATTCACAATTTGGAAGAAACAATAAAATGTCTTTACATCCTGTTTTTCTTCAACCTCATGAACAAAACAGTCTTTACAAGCAGAGTTCACCTTTTATTTGAGGCTATTCATCTGCCTCATTATGTAAAAATGTTTAAAAAAACTCCCAGGTGGTGGCACAATCACTATAGTCATTAATGTATATGCAAACTGATGTATGCAAACTCAAATAAATGTTTTATTTTGAATTTGTATACATCAGTAGTGTTTTGGTAGTTTTCATTCAACTGTATCACTTATCTTTTCTATGGCTAAAGAAAGATTTCCCATCCAGTGTCATCACTATGTATATTAAATTTACTTGTATTATATTTTATTTTGAATATGTAATAATTTAATACTAACTTTTCAAAATCTTTTATATTTATGCAGTTCTCAAGAAAGAAAAATGAGATCTGTTATAAATCAGAAATTAGTGGAGAGTGGAGAGCGTGAGAGGTAATAAAATTTGTTTATTTTGTACATTTCTTTTTACTCATATCTTTTCTAACTCTACAGAAAACTGTCTTGACAAGATAAAAGACTTTATGTCAATCAATTCATCTATTATATTTTATTTATGAGTTAGTGCTAAATAATATCCCATAAATACCCTAATCTCCTCAGCCATCCATCCCAAAATAATTTATTTGAGTCAGTCTATACTGATCATTGTTGAGGTTTCTTTAAATATGAAACTTATTAAATGTTTGCTAAGTACAGTTTAACCTGCTTATAACGTCATCCATGGGACCGGCAATTTTTTGACGTTATAACCGAGTGTCGTTATCTGCGGGGTCATAATTTCAGTTCCATAAAAGTATCAAGTCTGTTTAAGAATCTATTATAAAATTAATTAATTTAATATCGTATGTATAAAAGTGCAAACTAAATATTTAAATCAACTTTATTTACATTATTATGTCTAAATTTACAACGATGTAATTAAAAATTTCAAAAATTATTTTTTATAAGAAATTTTTATTTGTCAAGTTTCGATAATGGCGGCACTTTCGGTTTTAACGCCTGGATGATAATTTTCTCGTTTCTTGCTTATCTATCAATGGACATGAAGTCCAATATATTTCACTTTTAGGTTAAATTAATGTATATCAATTAAAAAAAAACAATAAAAATATTCACTTAAAAAAAGTCAGTTATTTTAGATTGTAAACTACAACACGAGTATGAGAGCTATGCAGACTAACCCACTGTCACGTCGTTTAAAGGGGTGGCGCATCTCACCCCACCGAATCAGGTGGTGACAGTACCACCCACAATCGTTCTAGGAAGGGACTCTGACTGAACACGTAGTATTTTCTTTGATAAATAAAATTTATAATTTAATTTTGTAAATTTAAGAGTGCTTCAAATATGACGTTAAAACAGGGTTTTATGTCGTTACAAGTGGGTTTTTTAACATTATCTAGTATAGTAAAATCGTGGGACCGATAAAAATTTGACATTATATTAGGGTTGTCGTTACATCCGATGTCGTTATAATCGGGTTAAACTGTAATTAGAAATTCTCACTAAATTTTTTTCACTTATATAACTTAGTCTAATTCTCACTTATGGAAAATCATTATCAAAAAGTAACAGGAAAAAAGAATGTAGAGAAATAATTCTATAGTGATTCTGTCTGGAATTAACATTACACAGTAAGACTTCGCTTAATGCAGGGGATGCATTCCTAGACGACAAAGTGTTAAATGAAACAGCATTAAATGAGGTCACATCTTTACTACAACATCGGAGAATAGTAATATAACTCTTTGTAACCTATTACCGGTGCATCTAATAACTCTTAATGATCCAAAACGAACCTTTTTGAACCCCTATAACAGTTCTTCTTCAGGCTTTTTCGAATCTCTGATGGACCATGCAGCTCGTAAAAAACTTTAAATTCGAAATATGTACGTTCAAATGCACGTTTCCCATTTCCGTCGTTGTATGTCATGCGCAGTCAATTCCGAAACGGGCTATCATAAATTACCATTCATAAACGCTAGCCACGCTATTGATAACGTAATCTCTTCTTTATAATTGATGCATTGATTATCCTTAAGGTTAGCTAAGTATATGCTGGCTGCCTCTAGCCATCTGATATGGTGTACGTGCCGTGTGGTACGGATAATTCTGGCTTTCTTAAATTCGGGGTCTATATCCGGATTGGAGGCATATACTGCTAGGGCCGTCATGCTCCTTTGTTTCTGAATATCAGCAGTGTGTTCTTTGAGTCTAACCTCTAAGGATCGTTTGGTGAAGCCCACATACAGAAGGTTTCTATCACATCTGCGACCTATAATCGGTATGCTGTAGACCCCTAACAGCTTATCGTTATCCGGTTGATCTTTTCCATTGGTTAGGATGTTGAATATCGAAGCGCACCTTCTGTAGGCTATACGTATGTGGTTCTTTTTAGCTATTTCTCCATATAGCTGTCTAATATATGGATTATAATTGAATGGACTGATCTTATCCATATCTTGTCGTTCTTCTCTTTGCGGAAGGTCTTGAGTTGCGTTTTGATATTCATGCAATAACTTGCGTACGAGCTTGCCGTATCCGTGTTCAGCGGCTATTCGTTGTGTAAGTCTTAGCTCTGATTGTAGGGCTCGCTCGGTAGAAGAGTGTGTGTGTGCTCTCTTAATTAGGGCCTTAAATGGTGCCACTTTATATTGCGGTTGGTCACATGACCCTACTGGTATGTATATGCCTTTTGTTCCTAACTTACGGTACACCGCTGTGTGAATTACCAACTCTTCTACCTTGATGTCAATATCTAGGAAGTGTATATTCGTCTGGTGCGCTTGTTCTATTTCTATGGTTAATCCATACGTGTTATTGTTCATTGTGTCGACGAAAGCCTTGATATCCGGTATTTCTTTCCACGATATGATAATATTGTCAACATATCTCTTATATAAAATGATGTTGTGAAAGTGGTGTGGGAGGACCTTAGCTTCAAGTAGTCTAACCACCATCTTGCATAAGTCACCAGAGATCGGACTACCCATAGGGACTCCTCTTCCTTGTGTGTACACACTACCTTTGAATTGGAAGAAGGAATTGTAACACAATAGATGGGCCATCTCAAGAATTTGTTGGTGTACCGTATTATCATTGAGGATAGAGAGTAGTAAATCTCTGATGGCACAAAAGGCAGGCGGGAGTAGGATTGATGGAAACAGTGACTTGAAATCCAATACTGTGAGAAACTTAGGTGTTACGGTGATCTTCTTGAGGGTATCTATAAGGTCCACAGGGTCACTCAGCATGTACGGATAATCTTCCAAGTAGGGCATGATAAGTTTTTTTACGAGCTGCATGTTCCATCAGAGATTCGAAAAAGCCTGAAGAAGCACCGTTATAGGGGTTCGAAAACGTTAGTTTTGGTTCGTTTTGGATCGTTAAGAGTTAGTAGATGCACCGGTAACAGGTCAGAAAGAGTTATATTATTAAATGAGGTCATTTTAACATAGAGTAAATAGGGATAGGTGAACATACGACCGAAAATAAAAAATTTTACTTTAATTTTAAGTTATTTTTATATTCATTTGTATAATAATATATGCTAAATAACACATAAGCATATGCACACAGAAATGTATAATAATGTATTAATTAGTTCATTTTTTGTGACAAAGGTCCTGACTATTCTGAAANGAAAACGTGACCAAAAATAAACAGATTTTACTTTAATTTTAAGTTATTTTTATATTCATTTGTATAATAATATATGCTAAATAACACATAAGCATATGCACACAGAAATGTATAATAATGTATTAATTAGTTCATTTTTTGTGACAAAGGTCCTGACTATTCTGAAACTCTTATTTTTTTGCAATAAAGTCATAAAGTTTCATTTGTCGCTTTTTTCTTTCCTTAAGCAAATGTCAGTAGCAGAAGATCGCATCCAAAATGCCTCATTTTGCTTTTTTACGCCTTTCAAAATCTAGATCATTTGCTACAATTTGATCAATGATTTCTGTTATTGTTACCAAACTTTTACTAAGGAAATTTGTAGAGAAATTTTTTGGGTTCTTTGTTTTCAGAATCACTATTTTTCAGTTGTACATGGATTCCTTGTTGTGCCAGTTCTTGAAGGTCATTGTTGATAAGACTCTCACCAGAAACCTGCGGTAATGCCTCAATATCCTATTCGTCTACATGTAGTCCTGCTGTATCAATTAGTTGAGTTTGATCAACCTAACGATACAGCGACAGGCTCTTCTCATTGAGAATTTTTGGATACCTTCAACCATAACTTCTTCCACACTTTGTTTGTGCATTTATCAGTTAATTCTTGCCAAGCAAAGCCCATATTGCCTATGGCATCCATGATGTTTTATTTTTTCCAAAATTGCACCAAACAAAAATAGATTTAAAGAAAGTACACTTTTTTGCCACCTTTTTCTGATTGGTTCATGTTCGTAAAATGTTGTATTATGTACGAATCAATAAAATGCCACAATAATTTAAAACAGCATAAATTTTGAGCTGTTTTTAAGGCTTCGAGCAGATGGCATTATATCAAATCAGTGTCAAGTGGGGTCTTATTGTATTTGTTAATTTGATTCAAAATATATTCCATTTCAAAAATTGACTCTGTTCTGTTTCATTTAAATAATATTGATGATGATTTATTCACATTTCCTTCAAAGAAAACTAACTAAAAGTTATCTGTATGTTATAAATTGCTTAATAAATTTAATTATAAGTTTCTTATTGAAATATATAAAATTGAAATATATTAGTTACTTGTCTCTGATTGAATATTTAAAGTCAACAAATTGTTTAAAAACTTCCTATAATTTGTATTAACTTAAATATTCTTGTATGCTTGAATCAGAATTATGTTGAATTGAAAAATCAAGTAATAAGTTGTAGATAGAATTTAATAATTCAGTTTTCAAATAATTTCCTTTAATTGATTTTATCATAACTTTTATAAGAAAAAAATGGAATTCATTTTAATGTATAATTTATTTTGTAGCTATAAAACTAATAGAACAGTGAAAAATATTTTAGTATATATAAAATTAGTTTTGAAAACAAAGAATAAACATCATTACTTATATCTTATCAATTTATGAACTATATAAATACTTTTATGTTCAAAACTATATTCAGAACTTTACTATCTTTATATTCAGGTTAAAAGAATTATTAAGAACTCGTTTGGTTGAATGTGGTTGGAGAGATCAGCTTAAAGCTTATTGTAAAGGTTTGTGATAGTCTTTGTACTCTTATTTTATGCTAATAATAGAATATAAAAAGTTCCAGAAAAAGAAGTAAATTGTAATTGAACTTCATTATTTTAATTATTTAAAAAGATTTCTGCTGTTTTGAAACATTTGCAGTGAAAAATTAGAATATGAACAAAAATTTTTTATGGTTACATATTTTTGTGCAATAGAAATTATTGAAAGAAATAATTTATTTTTATAGTTATGTAAAGTTAGTAGACTACATTGAATAATTCAAACAGTGATTTAAATAAATTATTTTTCAGATAATGTTAGATTTGTGAAATTTTTTAAACATATTATTTGATGGTTATAGAACTATATGTGGCCAAACACAAATTTGTTTGGCCACAAAAACACAAATTGTTCATAAAAAGTTGAAATTTATATAAGTTAAGAGTTGTCAGAATTCCTTTTTCTCTGCTATTTAATATATATATATATATATATTGTATCACTAGTAATTATCTATATAATATATACTAATGTAGAAATGAAACTTATATATACTTGCAAAATTGTGTATATTTATGTAATTTTTTGAAAGTTTTTTGAAATAATACATTGAAAGATTTTCAATTATAGATATTGTAAAAGAAAAAGGAGTTGAAAATGTAACAGTTGATGACTTAGTAGCAGAAATAACACCAAAAGGACGAGGTATTTATAATTTAATATTAAACAAAATATTTATATTAATTTGTATACTTACATTTTCAGTTTCACACATTAATATATGTGGCTCTATGGATCAAATATTGAGAAAACTGTGATTACTAAATAAAATTTTTAGATTTCAATCATATATTGTGTTTTAATTTAAGCATATTATAATATATATGCATACACTATGCATATTTTCATTTTTTTTACTCTTTCCTCTCTGTGAGTCTTAAGAATCCTTTTTAATATTTATTGTAGATTTGGCTAGGTTTACTTTATTGGTAAGTGGATTACTTTCACAGCTGAGTGGGGAGGAATGGGGCCTAACTTATTTGAGGCGATCACTCTCTAAAATTTCAGGATTGCTAGCTCAGATTCAATTCTAGGACTTCCAGAATAGGTATCATTATATTGAATTATAAATATAATGTTTGTATTTTATTTTTTATTGTTCTAGGTAATTACATATCATTACAATAAAACCTGGATTTAGCAGATGACTATATTTAGCTGAGAGAACGTTCAATTCTAAATAGGACTATTCATGTATTGTTACCTTAATTAAACAGATTCTGTCTTCTGTGGTCAATGGACAAATGTTTCTTACCACTCTTTCTGTTCTTCAATACTTCTGTTAAACAGTCAATACAATGAGTTAAATATTTTCATGAATATCATTTAAAAATACAATGCTTATCTTTTTAAGTGTTATTATTTAATAGAATTTTTGTGTTCTTAAACTAGTTAAATGTTTTACAATTTCATTTTTAATTAGTAATCTGTTACTTCTCTCTTCATAAATTGATAGGTTGACAACAAAGCTTATATAATTAATATGCTATTCTTATTTAAAACATATTTTAGCCAAATATCAGCTTGGAAATGTTTATTAGAAAACCAACAGAAGTGTAAATAATACTGTATTTCATTCACAAGTAGAAAATGGTAGATAGTTTTGTGGTTTATCTGTCCAACACAAACAGGAAGACACACTATTACATTTTACCATGCCAAGAAGTCTTTTTGTCTAAAACTATAATGATTTTAGAGCTACTTTTGATGATGTGAAAAATTATCAGAGAATATACACTAACCTCTAATCAGCATATTGAATTTAAGGGTGGCTTAATACTAGATCACTAAACTTAAATCAGTGTTACTCTGTCATTCATTCAACCTGTGGACTACAAACTGAAAACATGTATATTTTATAAATCTCCTTTATTACAAACAATATTAAAACTTAAGAGATATATTATTAGTTTTTAAATAAAAAAATAGAAAAGCATACAAAATTTACTTTTGCATTACAGATGTTAACAATGTACTCCTTGTAAATAGCCTTGTTGCAGTAGTGGTAAACATATTTTGTCATTCTATTACAAGCATAAATAAATCACATCTTAGTCTTGTATTTATAGCTTAAAAATTAAACGATTGGCCTGTTTAGGAATAACTGTGAAATCACAAAAACAAATAATGCATAACGTGACATAAACTTCTGCATGTTGTCATTAAACATTCACTTGTTAGACGACAATTAAGTGAAATCTCAGAAAATAACAAATGTTTTTCCTACTACAGGTGATAAAATAAAGATTTTTCTGATTATGAACTCCACCTTGTATTGATAACCAATACGCCGGTATAAAGTCCTATTAATACATTAAGTCCACGTAGACAATTTATAATAAAGTACAATTAAAGACTTGTAAGGTAACTAAATTTAAATAACAAATATACTTTTTCAGTTATCACTCTTGGGTGCCTTATTTGACCAATTAGGAAAGCACTGTGAATAATGTGGTTGGGTGCTCTACTGGAATTTGTCAAATTTGCAAAAGTGGCAGGAGTTGATAGACTATTAGATGAATTTTTAATGCTGTAGGGTTAATACATAATCCATAGGTAAGAAACTATGGTAGTTTCTAATTATTAAATTTATTACAAAATGGAACTTAACACTTCTAGACCCAAGTTATGTTAACTATGAGATAGAAATAACCTTTATTTTTGACAATTTTTTGGATATTTCTAATTTCTGTAATCACATATTCTTTTATAAATTCAAGCTATATTCAGAACTTTACTATCTTTATATTCAGGTTAAAAGAATTATTAAGAACTCGTTTGGTTGAATGTGGTTGGAGAGATCAGCTTAAAGCTTATTGTAAAGGTTTGTGATAGTCTTTGTACTCTTATTTTATGCTAATAATAGAATATAAAAAGTTCCAGAAAAAGAAGTAAATTGTAATTGAACTTCATTATTTTAATTATTTAAAAAGATTTCTGCTGTTTTGAAACATTTGCAGTGAAAAATTAGAATATGAACAAAAATTTTTTATGGTTACATATTTTTGTGCAATAGAAATTATTGAAAGAAATAATTTATTTTTATAGTTATGTAAAGTTAGTAGACTACATTGAATAATTCAAACAGTGATTTAAATAAATTATTTTTCAGATAATGTTAGATTTGTGAAATTTTTTAAACATATTATTTGATGGTTATAGAACTATATGTGGCCAAACACAAATTTGTTTGGCCACAAAAACACAAATTGTTCATAAAAAGTTGAAATTTATATAAGTTAAGAGTTGTCAGAATTCCTTTTTCTCTGCTATTTAATATATATATATATATATATTGTATCACTAGTAATTATCTATATAATATATACTAATGTAGAAATGAAACTTATATATACTTGCAAAATTGTGTATATTTATGTAATTTTTTGAAAGTTTTTTGAAATAATACATTGAAAGATTTTCAATTATAGATATTGTAAAAGAAAAAGGAGTTGAAAATGTAACAGTTGATGACTTAGTAGCAGAAATAACACCAAAAGGACGAGGTATTTATAATTTAATATTAAACAAAATATTTATATTAATTTGTATACTTACATTTTCAGTTTCACACATTAATATATGTGGCTCTATGGATCAAATATTGAGAAAACTGTGATTACTAAATAAAATTTTTAGATTTCAATCATATATTGTGTTTTAATTTAAGCATATTATAATATATATGCATACACTATGCATATTTTCATTTTTTTTACTCTTTCCTCTCTGTGAGTCTTAAGAATCCTTTTTAATATTTATTGTAGATTTGGCTAGGTTTACTTTATTGGTAAGTGGATTACTTTCACAGCTGAGTGGGGAGGAATGGGGCCTAACTTATTTGAGGCGATCACTCTCTAAAATTTCAGGATTGCTAGCTCAGATTCAATTCTAGGACTTCCAGAATAGGTATCATTATATTGAATTATAAATATAATGTTTGTATTTTATTTTTTATTGTTCTAGGTAATTACATATCATTACAATAAAACCTGGATTTAGCAGATGACTATATTTAGCTGAGAGAACGTTCAATTCTAAATAGGACTATTCATGTATTNTGTGTTGTGTAAAGGCAGCAGGCTAGAATATTCTAATTCCTTGTGTAAGTGTGCAATGGAAGGAAGAGTTTTAACCCTTAACTTAGATGGTGTTAGTTAAAATAAAGCTACTTAGTTTTTTTTTAATTTTAAATATTAATAACAAAACATTTCTTTTTCTAATTCTTTATTTAAACGTTTCTAAACAAGACAAAATATTCTGTAGCGATAAGTTAAATGCATTTCTAAACATCTTAATTTTACTTTCCCGGCTATTATATATAGGACTTTGTCAATATTTTTTAAACTAAAAAGTTCAAACAATACATTAAATAACTTTGAATTATATACATATACTAGTCATACCTAGCAAAATATTTTCTTTATAAAGTTGTTAAATAAATAGAGAAAATAAAGAAGCAGACAAATTCATTTACACAAAAAATAATTGAAAATCAATGAACATCAACCCAAAGTTATTTTCAGCTTTTTTATACTTGATGGGTAATTTCAATAGCTGGAATAACAGAGATGAGTGGCACTATGGCAAGAGTGAAATTGGGCATATTTTTACTTCTAAATAATTTTAAATGAAATTAAACACTAAAGTAGATGCAACAGGAGTAATCTACATTAAATAAGCTTCAAAATGATGTACAAAATGTAGATATAACTCATACGCAAGTACATAAACAAATTCAAATAAAGTTTCCCTGAGCATATTCTGTAAATATGGGTAGATGCAAACTACTATGAAATCTTTTTAATTCAGACTCTTTGAGGAATCTCAGGTAATTTGTTACAGTTCTAATCAGTTCAACATTTTTAGCTAAAGATAAATTTGTTTGTATTCTATAAAACAGACAACTCGTCTATCTAGTGGCTCAAATATTCATAAAAATACAAGGGAAAGTCATTAAATAACAGAATTTTATAACAACTTTTTTACTAAGATACTTAAAAGAAATTGTGCCTTATTTTTCAACATAATCACTTTGCATTACACTTGGTCCACTGGTCCACAAGCTTCTGGATGCCCTCAAGAAAAAAGGTTTTTGGGGTTGCCTTTAACCAACTTTGCACTACCTTTATTGTTTCAATGTCATCAGCAAACTTCTAACCTTGCAAATGTTCTTTCCAAGGTCCAAACAAGTGAAAAGACAATGGTACCCAGTTCAGGCCGTGTGGTGAATGTTTTATTACCACATACTTCAGATCACTTAGTGTATCCACTGTATGCATAGCTGTGTGGGGTCTGGTATTGTCAAGAGGCAACAAAACTTGTTTTTAGAAAACGTTTCTATTGTGTGGTGGACTTCAGTTTGTTTACCAGCGTATCACTGTATCAAGCGCTTGTCACAGTTTGACCCTTTTCCCTTTTCATGGAAGTGCACCAATATAGAGCAGTTGACATACTGACTCCAGATGCATAATCTGGAGTCAGGGAATTTGCCTCCTAGGCTGCTTTGTTGATTTTTTCTGACAATATACTTGACTAAATGTATCCATCTGCAGACAGCAAGAAGTAATGTGGAGAAAATACAACTTATGAAAATGGGTCAGAATATTTTCAGAATCCAAAATTTCTCCCAAGTATACACAAAATTTCCCCAAAAAATTTAAAGTACAAAAAATGATGATAAGTAATTTTAATTTAAATGTTATTATTTATCACTTTTTATTTTAATAATTTTGATTGTGTAACAAAACTATTTCTGATTTTTTTTCCAATTTATTAATATTTTATAATGTTCTAGAAATTTATTAAGGGATAAATTTAATAAATATATACTTTTGTACACAAGTTATATGGGATTTATTAATGAGTAAATAGAATAGCTTTTTTTTTTCTCTTTTTCAGACCCACATAGATTTATGGTTGTGGATTAATAACAGGATAAGCTGCTTTAATTTGATAAAACATTTTATTATTAGTTTTAATAATTTGGCAAGTATAAAAAATATATATAAATTAAAAAAAATAACTAATTAAAAAGTTGGAGAAGCAATAGCATATGTGTATAGTAAGTCAAATGCTGTTTTATTTAGTCAATGTGACTTACTGTAATAGATATAAGGGTCAGGAAATTTGTACAAAGTTGGTCAGAGAAAGTCATGGAATTTAAAACAAAAATTTGAGTAGGAACACTGGACATACCAAAATATTATCAGCAGAAGCCTTCATCCTGAATTTTTTGTTGAGCTGAAATGATGTGTGTTTCCACTGCATCAATTCTCTCACTCTCTAGTTCATAATGGTGTATCCAGAACTCATCTCCAGTCACCAACATCTCCATGAACATAATGTTCCAAGTGCTCCTGGCTAATCATCTGCTACACACACTTGTGATCAACCAATGACTGCCTTGGAACTCATCTGATATACACTTTTTTATATTTGAAGTTATCATGTGTAATATTGTTTTGTAGATCCATGTCTCATGTTGGATTCTGTAACAATTTCATCAACAGTAATTTGCCTGTAGTCACAGATTCACTGCTTGATCTGCTGTTTCACTGTCTCAATTGCCATGCAAACATCTTCCACACTGATGTTTTGCCTTTCATTTTGAACTCTTTCCAGCCATTCATACATTCTCCCCTAACTCAAGCAACTGTCTCCATACTGAACTTTCATTCTTCTGTACATTTCAGAAAGTTTTATTTTCTCTGACCATAAAAAATGAATGACACTTCATTGCTCTTCCTTGAAGCAATTTGATAGTACAGCAGCTATGTTGTATGAGCAGATGCATACCACTCAGTTGTCATGACTCCTATATGACATATTGTAAGGAAACATTTTGTGTCCCACAATAAGATTTTTTGCAGTGCATACATCTTCATGAATTTTAGATTAAAATTCCTATTATTTAATGACTTTCCTTTGTATAAAACATGCCACAATTATAGCTAATAAAATATCTACATTTCAGGAATTTTATAAACCAGGTGACATGCTACTTTTTCTTGGGTTTCATTTTCAAAATATGAGATATACTGGTATTGAATTAAGTTTTATATTAATCATATTCAACTATATTAAATGGTTAAGGTAGCATAATGAAAAAATATCTTTGTATTAAGTGTTCCGTTACTGGTTTTTTGTGGATTTTTAAAAAAAATTAAAGCTTATGGCTTTTCTTTACAGTAACATATCACACAGGGAACAGTTATTGATACAGGCTTTATTGATGGAAGCTTTATTCTTCCATCAATAAAGCCTATATCAATAACTGTTCCCTGTGTGATATGTTACTGAAAAAAAGCCAATAACTCTAACTTTTTTGTATGTAATAAAATTACTTTACAAAATACAGTTAGGGTGGATGCTCACTGAATCAGCAAAAATGTCTTTTTGCTTTCAAAAATAGACACTTTTATAATACATTACTAAAAACCTGAACTATATGTTAATTAATGAAAGAATTAAATAGAATTTTAACACAGAAATATTGTGTGGTTCAATCTGCCTCTGTTTTCCAGAATTTTTGGTAAAGGATTTTCTCATAAAATAAGCATTACATTTTTTAAAACTATCTGTTGGAAATCGTATGCATAACCAAAGAGGTTACATTCAGCCTTAAAAAGATATCTTAATTTTTTAATCTTCTAATATCCTAGTCATATGTTATTATATTTAATA